TTAAATAATTGTTAAATCATTTGTTTTTGTTAGGTGACATATCGTAGATGGAAGATCGAAAGGATGTCCGGAAGGCCTCTTCAAGCCGATGTGGATAAAATAAAGTCGTTGGTCAATGCAAATCAATAGATGAGTAAAAGATTAATAAAGGTGTGGGATTAATATCTAAGCTTGAAATGTGGGTTCCTCATATTATTCGCGCATTATTAAGGACGACAATAAGTAGGTTGCTTATAATAATGCGAGGCACATGAAAACATAGCTTAAAAAGGATGAACCAGCTGCAACTACTTCGTAGACCGATATTCACCAAAAATGAGGTTATGTTGTCCGTTTGGTGAGATTTCTATTGCATGGCTTAATTTGAGCTTTTGCATGATAATATCAGCAGCACGAATAGAGCTAGGACTCAAGCAGGAGGGACCAAAATTGATCAACAGAAAAGGTGTAATTTTCCAACAGTTTAAGGTGAGACCTTATACAAGTTTTATAACTTGCCTAAAGCTTTTATAGCTTGAATGGAATGTTCTACCACATCCATCATATTCTTCAGACGTATTCTGGCTTCTACACAATTTTCTTGGATGGGAGAACCTTCGTCAAAAACCACTTGACCCTGTTTTTAGCCAGCAAGAATCAAAAACCATTATGAGCATGGAATCAATGGCTTGCCCGAAAGATAACACCTAATATTGGGCAACCCTATACAATATGACTGACAGTATTTGGTCTATAAAAATTTTGATTCCATAGTTAAATAACTAAATTAAAATATCTCTCGTCCGACAAATTGACCGCATTTTACAATTTATTTGTTTTAATTTGCAGTTTTTTCATCAATCCGATGTCAAGGAACTCAGACTAAGTGGCAAAAGTAATTAACATTTGACCAAAACTATTGATGCTCATGTAAATATTTTTTTAATTTTATTGAACCGAATGCACATAGCAACTCGAGCATAAAAAATACGATTGTTTGGTACATATCAGTGTGTATATGTATACATATACATATACAATACTTCAGTATATGCACTCTGTGTACATGGAAAAATGCAATACACTAGAATTAAGCAGATCACAACAATAACTATGCGATGAAATTTATATTATTGCAATAACAAAGTCGAACAAATCTACAACTGACACGTCAATTTTATTAATCATAAAAGTTTCGTTGATCAAACTGTGTAATTATCATTAGCTCCAATTTTTTTTTTTTTTTTTTTGCTAACCATAAAAATATTTCATGTGTACAAATGTGTATATATGTAAAATTAATCTTCAATGGCAAGCCACACCGAAAACCGCATCTTTTATGCATTTAAATCCAATTGAAAAACGCCGGCGTAAATTATTTGGTAAGCCTGCAGCGCAACACACTGCGACATTTTTCGTTTTTTCCCACTGCCTGCAATCAAAATAAGAAATACTCGAAATAAAATGATTGCAAAAACACGGCGTAGGCTTTCCGCACCTTAAAGTGGCTAGCAAAAGAAAAAAAATTAAATTTATAAAAAGAAGCATTGAACATCTGCAGTTATTTCATTTGCAGACAAGCACACACACTCGTGCATATTTACATACAATAGCATACATATTTACACGTACATACATATCTGCAACAATTTTTCGCAAATCGCAAGTATAGCAATGCAGCATCTTCTTCATTTGCGCACACATTCTCACTAAAAAGCTTACTTCTTCTCGTATATATACACATACATACATGTATATATAGACCAGCCTGTTGATGTAAAAAGCTCAAATTAAAAATGTTACATGCATACTTACTTATCTCTATACCTTACATATACTCGTATTTACAATGCAGTTAATTTGGTTCAACATAGATGGCATACACTTGGCCACAACTTGTTGTTGTTTGAGTAGGGGAAAAAAGTGTAAATAAAAACAAAACCAAATACCAGTTTCGCTTTTTTCTTGCAAACAAATAACGGCATTACAGTGATGTACATCCAAGCATCCAAACATCTAGTAAGCCGGTCAATCAACAGAAGCCTATGCTCGTACTAGCGAATTTTGAATCGATAGAGGCAACAGGGGTACCCGCAGCATTTGGCGATATGTTAAAAGTCACATTACGATGCCAAGTGAACGATGTGCATAAAGTGTTGGTTACAGTTAGTTTTGCGTGGTTAGATGAAACTTAGCTTGAAAATACCTCCACTGCAACACTGAGAATACGTGTTCGGAATAATTATTATGTTTGACGCCCAGATTAAATTGAAAAATAAAATTAAATATAAATAAAATTATATAACCGTTTAAGCGAATAGTTCGGAGCTTGACAGAAATGTCTGACGAGGATTTTCAGCGGCATCCACTGAGTTTGGTCTTTCAGAGCATTGAGGCTTTTTCGAAGCGGACGCGTGTGGATACCATCTCTAGCTTACAGTCGAATAAGGCACACATAGGTCATAATCTAATGGCGGTGCGCATAATATGGTTGCCAGATCCTTATGAATGTTAGCCACGGAATAACAGAGAATTTCCTTGCCTTTCTAGGACCAAAAATCTGGAATACAATGGGAGTTCTGACTGGAAATTTTCCAATTGGTATCAATGAAGTGCGCATTTTTTATGTTATAAAATACTAGAGTCTGCGAATTTGTCTAGATATAGAAACCACAATGCAGTTTCGTCTGAACCACTATGCGTTTTCGAGGCTGGGACTGAAAATTCTGGGATCGCCTACTTCTATAAACCCAGAACAGTTAATAAATATTAATATATATTAGGAGCATTAACATATCTCTGGCCACGATTAAGGCTAATTCAACGTTTTGGAAAGTATTTCTGGGGTGCCAACTCAACCTAACCTAGCCTAACCGGCTACATAGTCTTCAGCCCCGCTTATTGATGTGCCTCTTGGCAATTGAAAGACTTTAAAATTTTTTATCAAAAAATAATGTTTTATTATTATTATATATTTTAGCATTTGTCATGTTAAACATCTATTTTAGCTTAGAAGTTCGAACGCTTATTTATTCTTCTTCTTTAATGGCGTACACACCGTTTATGCAATTATAGCCGAGTTAACAACTGCGCGCCATTCATTCGTTCTTATCGCTGTTAGGCGCCTATTGGAAATATCAAGTACAGCCAGGTCTTTCTTCACCTGGTCTTTCCGGCGGAATAGAGGCCCTCTTCTTCCTCTGCTTCCACCGGCGGGTGGAATATTCTTATCCATTCGGACCACATGGCCTATCCTTCGCAGCGGCTGATTCTTGATTGGTTGAACTATGGCAACGTCGCCGTATAACTCTACAGCTCATCGGATGCAGTTTCCAACTCGTAGACGACGCAAAATCTTTCTTTCTTAAACTGCTAACGCCGTTTGTCATCGTCCATGCCTCCTCACCAAATAGCAGGACGAGAACGATGAGCGACTTGTAGAGTTTGGTTTTCGTTAGTCGGGAGGGGACTTTACTTTTCTATTGCTAACTCCATGCAAAGTAGCATTGGTTGGCAAGAGTAATTCTGCGCTGAACTGACGTTGTTGTTGGTTTTAATTCTGCCTCCAAGTTAGACGAGGTTATCTACGACCTCGAAGTTATCTTGACCTGACTGTCAGCAGTGACGTGGGAGCCAAGTCGCGAATGCGATGACTGCTCATTTGATGACAGGAGATATTTCCTTATGTACTCGTTTACCATCAGACCCATATCCATTGCTTCCCTAGCCAGTATGTAGAAATTAGAACTCACGTCGCGGTTGTTGAGTCCAATAATGTCAATATCATAGGCGTATGCCAGCGGCTGTACACCCACATAGAAAATAGTTCTTTCACTATTCAGCTCCGCAGCACTTGTTGTTTTCCCCATCAAGAAATGAAAGAAGTAACACGATAAGATATCACCTTGTCCGAAACTTCGTTTGTTTTCGAACGAGCCGTTCGTCCCTGCGGAACTGAGAGGTCCGTGCCGATCTTGATGGAGATGGTACGTGTCTATTCTCTTTTCAAGGAATTTTTTCAAGATTTTGTTCATAGTAAATATTTGGTCAATTGCAGATTTATCAAGTCAGTGCGTTAGCAGTGGGCTTCAATATTTCACACAATCTTCAGGCATGCTTTTTGTATTTTGCAAAGAATACGATGCATGTACCTTATCAGTTATTCACCGCCGCATTTGAATAGAACGGACAGCAATCTATCGGCCCCTGTCATTTGTTGTTTTTTTAGTAGGCTATTGCTATTCGAACTTCTTCATGGTAGAGCAATGAAACATTATCTGGTGTTCCATTTTCACTGCCATTCAATAGGCTGGAAAAGTATGCCCTCCATAAATTCAGTATGCTCAGGGGATCGGTCGGAAGATCATCGGCAGATCATCGGCAAGTTCTATACGATACGCTGTTAAAAGGTTTTTTTGCATTATTTGGATCACCGACTGTGCTTTTGTGCTACATTTCATAAGGATAATCAGGATTAAAGACATTTTTATCAATTTAACTTTGCAGACAGCAGTATATAGTGCATAAGCTAAAGTTATCTGTAACCAGCCTACTAATTCTAGCGATAGTTGTTATGTACTTAAAAATGGATGCGACGGCCAAACAACAATTACCATTGCGGACTTCATTTGGCCGACGACGATCAATTGCAGTCGAGCAGAAACGACAACATCTATGCACATACATATATAAACTTGTACATATACCTATTAACTGCATTTGTATGTACGTGTATATTTGTAAATGCGCTGCAATGCATTAACGCGCCAAAATCGAATATTTCAAGAAAATCACAAAAAAGAAAAGAAACAGATATGCAGACGGTGTCTTCAATGTTGAAAAGCTAAAAAGCTCTACCACTATGCTGCATAAATATCTGTGTGAATGTGTTTAAATGCGCTTGTGTGTGTGTGTCAGTGCTTGGTAATATGTAGAGGTAGAGCTCAGTTTGCGCTGGTGTACACGCTCAACTTTAGGAGCCATCATCGCGCAACTATAAATAGCTTAAATAGGGCCCGCTGGTGCGCAGTCTTTTTTCAAACCCGCTTTCACTCACACGAAAATTACGAAAATTCACGTTTTGAAAACGCACGCGCGCCATTTATATATTTTGATATTGAAAACACGGTCAACTTTGTAAGGTGCTCTTTTAGGAAACTAAATAGTTGTAATTGTGCAAACGAGACGGTAACAATTTATATCCTGATTCCGTTAGAAACACTTCCTTCCCGTTTGTCGAATTAACTGCATTCCCATTCAACAATTCGATAATTAAAATGAATAGTTTTGTAAGTTAAATACGTGAAAACATTTAATAATTCCACTGTCATGAATTTCAAAGTTTATTTTTCAAGAAAAAATGTGTATTTAATTCCTGGATTTTTTTTTTTACTTTTCTTCATGTGGTCTTGCCTATTATTTACAGTTGTTAGTGTGCACCATTGGTTTGATCCTTGCAGTGACATCCTGTCATTCGCAACATCATCACGGTCATCCAAATCAGAATAATATACCGCGTGATGAGAAGGTCTCCGAACATCGGGATCATCATCGTGAAAGCACCACCTGGATACCGATACTCAAGTATAATAAGGAGCAAAGTGAAGATGGCAGCTATAAAACCGAATATGAGACTGGCAACAATATTGTGCATGAGGAGACCGGCTTCTTAAAAGATTTCTCCGATACAAATCCCAATGGTGTGCTGGTGCAGCATGGTCAATATTCGTACCAATCACCCGAGGGCGATGTAGTCAACGTACAATACACAGCCGATGAGAATGGATTCCGTGCAACTGGTGATCATATACCCACACCACCGGCTATTCCGGAGGAAATCCAAAAGGGATTGGATCAAATTTATGCTGGCATAAAATTACAACAAGAACGTTTAGAGCAACGCGCTAAGAGTGATCCTGATTTTGCCAAGAAACTTGAAGAACGTCGTTTGGCCAATAAGAATGGTCAATATATTGGTCCATTGGAAAATGCTTAAATTGCGCAAGTCAAAATTATTATTTAGTGGTTCGGGTGAAAAAGAAAAAATCAATAATTATTATAAATATTTAAAATTATAACAAAATTCGTAAGCGATTGTGGCGCTTTTATAAAGAACAAAGACTGTGATTTGCTGCGGCAGAAATGGTGGCATTAAATAAAAAAAAGGAAATTTGGTTGTAAAAATTTGGATACTTTGTTGTTGATAAATGCTTAAAATTCGAGAAATTCTAAAATTCAAAAATTCCAAATTTTACGATTGGTGCAATAAGAACAATTTTGTTTACATGCAGAAGAAGTGTTGCATAAACTCGATTTACTTGTACCTAATTACCTTAATAATAATAATAATAATAATAACGAAAAATATAAAAACACTATGTATGTAAATAAAAGTGAAGATTTTCTACAAAACGAAAGTTGTTTTTATTATACTGCTTATTATGTAAATATGTGTGTAATGAGCGCTTTGTAACCGCTGAGACGATTTTCGGCCGAGCTCCTCCTTCAACAAATAGAGGGATCTACTGTTTATTCTAAGCCGCCTCCAAGCGGACGATTGACTTTTATGAGGAGCCTTATTTCGTGCCAGAAAAACACTGAACGTGATATTTTCTGTCGGAGGGCAATGCTAATTAGTAAAATTAATCTGCATACTTGAGCTCAAGGTTTTTTTCGAACATTTTCCAGCTGCTCGAGCATTTGAGAAACAAGTCCTCGCAAACTCGTACGAGCTTCGAGCTTTTTCGAACATTTTTGAGCATTTTGAAATAGTTTTTTGCTTAAATTAACAGGAAGATTACATTTATTTCTACCAAATTTACTTTTTCATTTATAAATGGACCAGAGACCTGGAAGCAAGTTCGATTTGTGCAAAATAATACTTCTTTCTTTACGGTAATTCGAGCTGTCAATAAAAAAACACTTGAGCGGGTAAGGCTATGCGGGGTAGTGAACTTTTGAAACACTTTTCAGGCAACAATTTTTTAATTGCGAATGTTTGACATACATACATATACTTAAAAAAATTGATCATATTTCTTTCCAGTTTTGTGTTGCAATCGGTTAACATTCCATAGTCACAATCTGTCCTCTTTCGTATAATAATCCCATCTGCCGAAAAATCGTATTGCTTGCTCTAAATTCTTCTTCTTCTTTACAGGCGTATGCACCGCTTTACAACAATCCTTTCTTTTTTTCGCTGGTCTCTCCCCTTCTTCTGCTTCCACCGCCGGGTACTGTAATGAAAACCCTTAAGGTTGTAACATTCTTATCCATCCGGACGACATGATATCGCTAGCGCAACCGCTGTTTCTTGATTCACCAAACTAAGTCAATGTCGCCGTAAATCTCATAGAGCTCAACATTCCATCGGCAGCGGTATTCAACGTTCCCAACTCATAGAGGACCATAAATGTTACGCTAAATTTTTCTCTCGAAAACTCCTGGCGCCAACTCGTCAAATGTTGTCTTCGTTCATGCCTCCGCACCAAATAGCAGGACGGGAAGGATAAGGGACTTGTAGAGTTTGGTTTTCGTTCGTTAAGATTGGACTTTACTTTTCAAATGTCTATTCCATCCAAAGTTGAACCTGTTGCCAAGAGTGATTCTCTTCCAGATTTCCAGACTGACGTTATTATTGGTTTATTACTGGTTCAAAGATAGACGAAGTTATCTACGACTTTAAAGTTCTAAATGTCAACAGCGACGTGGACGCCAAGTCGCGAATTCGATAACTGTTTGTTTGATGACAGGAGATATTTCGTGTTGACCTCGTTCACTACCAGACCCATACCCTTCGCTTCTCTAACCAGTCTGGAGTGAGCAGCACTCACGGCACTGTTGTTGAGGTGAATAATGTCAATATTATCAGCTGTACACCCTTATAGAAGATTGTACCTTCTCTATTCAGTTTTGTAACTCGTAATATTTTCTCCAGCTATAAATAAAAAAAGTTACCCGATAAGGAATGACCGTCTTAAATATCGTTTGGTATCGAAAAGCCCGGAAAGGTCCCTCCCGATCCTACCGGTGCTTTTAGGGTTACTTAAGGCCAGTGTAAGATGTGCTCAAAGTTATTGTACCAAAAAAGTCTGAGCAGAAAATTATGCAAACGCCTGAAATAAAAAGTAGAGTAAATAAGAGCAAAGAGCTTTCAAGAAACACTTTAATATACGATTTTGAAGCCAATTCTAGTACTTTGTACTGCGAAGCTCAAAGATATCTAATCGCAGCTCTGACTAAGACTGGACAGAAACAGAGGAGGTGTTCTAAAATCTGCCTCATACCTTTCTCGCTGCACTTCCTGCTATTAAGGCCCATTCTGCTTGCATGGGATGCCAGTTTTGTTGTGGTCCGTCATTATGCCAAGAACTGGCCTGCAGTCCTTACGTGTGAACAAGAAATGTGTCATTTCTTCGCTGCTATTGCTTATAATTTTGGTGGTTTACATGTCCCCATAGCATTACATCTCACTTTGATCCGGCACCTATCTCTTTCCTGAAAGTAGCTTGTAACCTTCCATATCCTTTTATATCGAGCTGTGCCCAAAGGGTCTAGCAAGGAATTCACCTAAGGCCACTGAACAAAAATTACATGACAGCTTTACCTGACCCACTCGTGATCTGTAAAAATCACATTATTGGGATCACCTGTTTTATAAGGCTTTGTCTTGAATAAATGATGGATCAACCTACAGCTTTAACTACTGGTCGATGGTACCTGCAACTGGAAGGGTGTGTTCTGCGTATGACGTATGCACCTAAGAAAGGATTTTTCTGGAAGAGAATCTGGAACTGATTTATTCGAAAAAATCTACTTAATTTTTAAATAGTTTCATTTTCATGAAATTCAGTAGTAGCTTTGGCTCCCAATTACCATTGGGAATACCATTTCTTCTAGGAAGTGTGGCTGGGATATGTTCGATGATCTTTTTTTTTTCGTCTTTTGAATTTCGCGGCTATGTACATAGCGCTACAGAGCTCGTATCTGTACATAATTTGAAAGGTCTTGACATAACCTACAAAACAAGGCTATGCATGATTAGTTTGGATATTGCGTTCAACACTTATAGACGTGTAAGCATGGAGTTCTCTAACGCCGAAATTCGCGCTATTTCAAAGTTTTCCTTCGTTAAAGGCAAATCCGCTAGAGAAACGTTCCGTGAGATTAATGGTGTTTTGGGGGATGGTACTCTATCACTTCGAGCCGCGGAGGAATGGTTTCTACGATTCAGAGCCGGTAAAAACGACACCATGGATAGGCCAGCCGGCGGAAGACCTGTGACGACAAATACCGATCAAATCGGACGTAGCGCCAAGTGATTACCACCTGTTCCTGTCCATGGCGAATTCCCTTGGTGGTGTGAAGTTGAACTCAAAACGAGGAACGTATTATGAAGTTGTCGTCTAGATGGAAACAGATCATCGAACAAAACGGCGCACATTTTAACTAAATCCGATCACTGTAACACTTTTTATAAAGCATTGAATGAAGAGCAAAGGGAAGATATATAAGAAGGGAGATATTTGACAACCTTATAAGTTATAATGAAATTGTTAATATACAATAATAAAGCTTATAAATGTTATTATAACCGTCCTAAAATTCCATATGGACGAAGGCTCCTCATAAAAAACCAACCATCAGCCGTTCGGAGGCGGTCACTCCTTTTGTTGGAAAAACATCAAGGCGTAAAACCACATAATGGAGGAGGTGCTCGGCCGACAATCACTTCAGCGGTTACAAAGCGCCAATTACATATTTTTGAAATATGAAATTATGCAATACATGAACGTTTTTAATAGAAATATTTTTTATTATAACAACAATTTATGTAGATGATGTAAGTTTTTATTACAAGTTATTTATTTTCAATGTTCCTTAGCCTCTTTTTGCATCGTCCATATCTAATCACTAAGGCAGATGTTATTTTCTATTTTATATTTATCTTATAAGAAACTGTGAACGATTTGGACGCATTTTAAGTATACTCTTCTAGAAAACCTTTCTTGGGAAAAAAATCCTTAGTCGCAGAAAAGTATATTCTCGACTTTCGCTCTTGATAGTCATGTTTCAGTGTCTCAACTTCATCGCGGCATCTGTCTTCAAGATTCACTTTCATTACGCCATCACAAAAACTACATAAACTGCTTGAATTCGATGCACCGGAATCTAGTGCGCGTACCCCTTCCAGTCCGAACCAAATATTTTCAGCGTCCATTTGCCTCTCTAGCGTTGTATCACAATCGCAAGTATGCAATACATGGAGCTCTTGACTATTAGTTTCGATGATTTTTTTACCAATTTCAGGTATGGGCTCAACTGGTGGGTACTGAACATCTCTGTGCGAAGGACCTCTGCGACAATTCCTTATCACCCATTCTTTCTCCTTATTACAGGATAAAAAGCGTATCGAAAAGAATGGTGGCGGTATTTTTACGACCCAACCGGAATCCTCTCTATAAATACCACCACCGAGATCATATGTACCTGCATCTAAATTAGTCATTATCGTTTGTTGTCCCGTTGGTCCTATACCGTTTAAGATTTCCCACGATGTACGTCGATCATGTTCCGTACAATATTTCCATTCATCGAAATTTAATTTATCATTTTCAAATTTTGCTTTTAACTTTAATCCATCTGCATAATACATTTCTTGCATCTGCACCAATTTTCCATTATCAAACTCGCCAATAAATTTAAAATGATATGGCTTTGTTAACGTCATTTCGCCAATACCGTGGAATTTTCCATTTTTGAAATTGCCCTTATATTGACTGCCATCCGGATATAAATACTTTCCATAACCCTCCATGCAATGTATTGCATTGTTGTAAGTACCAAGGAATTGACTGCCCGTGATAAATGTCAAACCTTTATGCATTGTAAAGGTGAACGATAAGAAACTGATAAATATAAAAGAGCTTTTGACAAAATTTTTTTAAAAAAAATATTACAACAGTCATAAAGAATTGTTTATTTAAATAAATTATAGGAAGTTTTTCGCTTGTCTCATATTCGAACGACACCAGTTGGAAATCTAAATCAAATGGAAATAAAGGTTGTCAAATATCTCCTTTCCGCTTTTTTGCTCTTCATTCAATGCTTTATAAAAAGTGTTACAGTGATCGGATTTAGTTAAAATATGCGCCGTTTTGTTCGATGATCTGTTTCCATCTAGACGGCAACTTCATAATACCTTCCTCATAGAAGCCTTCCTCCTTATTTGCGAAGAATTCGGACAGCCACTTTTCACAAGCCTCTTTTGAGTTCAACTTCACACCACCAAGGGCATTCGCCATGGACAGGAACAGGTGGTAATCACTTGGCGCTACGTCCGGGCTATATGGTGGATGCGATAAAACCTCCCATCCGAGCTCCCGTAGCTTCTGACGAGTCATCAACGAAGTGTGTGGTCTGGCGTTGTCCTGGTGGAACACTACACCCTTCCTGTTGGCCAATTCTGGACGCTTCTGGTCGATCGCCTGCTTCAAGCGGTCCAGTTGTTCGCAGTAGATGGTAGAATTAAGCGTCTGGTCATATGGGAGCAGCTCATAGTGGATGATTCCCTTCCAATCCCACCAAACACAAAGCAAAACCTTCCTGGCCGTCAATTCCGGCTTGGCCACAGATTGGGACGATTCACCGGCCTTCGACCACGACCGTTTTCGCTTGATATTGTCGTATGTGATCCATTTTTCGTCGCCAGTCACCATCGGCTTCAAGACTGGGTCGAGTTCGTTCAAAATGGTTTGGTGACTAACCATCTCCTGGGCGATGTCAAGAGATGCCATATGCCGTTTCAACTCGATGTATTCCATGATTTGATCGGTATTTGTCGTCACAGGTCTTCCGCCGGCTGACTTATCCATGGTGTCGTTTTCACCGTCTCTGAGTCGTGGAAACTATTCCTGCGCTGTTCGAAGTGATAGAGTACCATCCCCCAAAACGCCATTAATCTCACGGAACGTTTCTCTAGCGGATTTGCCTTTAACGAAGGAAAACTTTAAAATAGCGCGAATTTTGGCGTTAGTGAACTCCATGCTTACACGTCTATAACTGTTGAACGCAATATCCATGCATTGCGTTGTTTTGCAGGTTATGTCAAGACCTTTCAAATTATGTATAGTGTTGCCAGATGTAGCGCTTTGTAGCCGCGAAATTCAAAAGACAAAAGAGCGGAAGGGAGATATATGACAACCTATATTTTGGGGCAAAGCTGTAAAGAAACGCTCAATATTAATTCTAAAGTTTTATTAAGCGAATATTGAAAAAAGTAGTATATAAAATATATGCATTATAATATTTATAATATAAAATATATCTATAATAAATATTATATAGGGTTGTCCTTTTCTGTATTTTGACACTTGTCAAACATATTTTAACATATTTTAGTTAAAACTCAGTCATCTACGAAAATGTATCGCTTACTAATTACCACAAAAAGGGTGATTGAAACCTATCCGCGTTTCGTACTTTAAGAGAAGATTATGACGAATAACTCAAGCAATCGGTAAAATTTTAAAGAAAGACTGGATCGGTTATTATGGCGTATTTTGCTATTGGTCCTTACGCCTGCACAATAACTGAAGCCAGATAATCGTTTGTAATGCCGTACATAAGAACATATGTACGATTTTTTGGACACCCCCCGCCCGAAAAAATCTCGTATCAGGAAGTCGAAGGTGAAAACTATGGTTATTGCCTTTTTTTATAGCCGTGGAATCGTCTCCACAAAAAATTTCTTCCACCGGGGCAGACCGTAAATCAAGTCTACTATCGCCTAGTACTCGAAAGATTGCGAAAACGAGTCAACAGAGTGCACCCAGATATCGCTCGTAACTGGATCCTTCATCACGATAATGCACAACGTCCCAGTATTTGGCCCCTAAAGGGATTGCCGTGTTGCAACAATCGTCTTATTCGCCCGATATGTCACCCTGTGACTTTTTTTGTTCCCTAGAACAAAATCAGTGGTCAAAGGAACCCATTTTGAGTCGATTAAGAACATCCAGGCGAAGTGACGAGTGTACTCGCGGATATAACAGTCGAGGCATTCCAAAAATGTTACGAAGCATAGAGAACGCGCTGGAATCGTTGTATAGCTGCCCAAGTAGACTGCTTTGAAGGGGATGGCAGAATTGTGGAATGAGTTTGAAATATACGGTTTTTATGGAATCAGACTCATTACTTAATTGTCACACCTCGTAGCAGTACAATCCGCCAAAGTTGAAGTGATTACTTTGTCACAAACACAAACAGTATATACAAGAACACTACTCCTCTGTTATGTATCCAGTACAGTGAATAGCCTGTTTCAATAAGTAAGATTCAAGGATATTGTGGAATGGTTGTTTAATTTTATGTTAGACCATACTACACCTCGTTAAATCCTTGAGCGACATCAAGAAAAACGGCCGAGCAATACTCTCTGTATTCGAAAGCTTTCCTTACTTCATTTTTTATACGATTTACTTGTTCAATTGAGCCATTTTTTTGCCGAAAACCAAATTAAGGTGTATGAATTATATCGTATTCATGGAGATAAGAAGAAATTGTTGATAGCAGCACTTTTTCGAAAAGTTTAGATAGGCAAGGCAACCGGCTGATTGGTCTATATGATTACGAATACGTTACATCTTTACCTGGTTTAGCTATCATAATTATCTGCGACTCTTTCAATATTTGTGGATAATATTCTAGCTTTAATATGGCGCTGAACAGCTTTGCAAGGACATCGAGAGCAGTTTTTACTAGCAATTTTTTGGGATTTAAGGTGCAAAATAAATGCTTCTCATTGGTAATTCTTGTTTTAAGAGACATTTTATTTTATAAATTAAAAGAAAAAATGTTAATAGACAGAATTTAATGTAGTTTAACAGTAAACGATTCATTACAAAAAATATTTGATCCTCTTGTCCCTGTAGCCGATCTCCACAAGGACCTCCAAAAAAAAGATGTTTGGCGATGAGGAAGATATTTCTGCTTCAATTTATCTGAAACCCGAAAACCAAAAAAATTTAGTATTATAATGGATGAATACAAGAATAGCGAAGATTTTGATTTTTAACGAAATGGCGGATTCAAATAAAAAATATTTTTTTTTTGAGTTATTCTGAACTCAAAGTGGTTTAAAAAATCGAAATTCTTGTCAAAGTTCCTTCGATCATTACCTAATAAATATGTATTAGAAGGTCGTGTGAAAATTTAAGTCTTTCGTCTCAGCTTCTTCAGAGAAATTTTACTCACCGACCCTGGAAACGTCGTTTCGAGAAAAACGCATTTAAAGTTTTGCGAACCATTTACACTAAGTTAAACTATTCCGCCTCGCGCTTGGCATATTTTTGAACGCCACGAGAGGTACTTAATGTTGCGATCATATCTCCGAGACTGTTTGTCGAATCAACTTCAGATTTTCGGGTAATATTCTCAACTACACATATATATATGTGCATTCGAAAAATTGATTTTTTTTTTAAATAAAAATAGATATAAACCCTTAAGGCGGTAATATTATTATTTAGTTCACACACAGATGCACGACGAGTAACAGTATATCTCGGAACAGTATGGTACGGTTACAAAGGTGCATTATTTCTAGCAATATTTGTATGAAATAACGTATTGAGCGAATTAAGAGGCAGCGGTTATGCTGGCCAGGTCATGTTATCCGGATGGACGAAAACGCGATGCCCACGTCTATTAAAAAGAAGAAGACTTAGGCCTTACATTACAAACCAATTGTAGACTGAACCCATTGACCCATTTTTTTTCTTTTTTTTCAAATTATATATAATACAAAAATTCACAATTTTAAAATGTTATTCATCACTTGAATGTGTGTCATCTGGTATACTAAGTAGAGGCAAAACCAATTCTATAATGGTTAAAGAAGCGATTGACTCCCATTGAAATTCTTTATAAAAATATTTCTTTTTTGGCCAACAAACTTACGTACATTTATATATGTGTGTATGCTATTTTATTGGAAATTATGAAAAGTGAAAAAAAAAATACAAAACAAATTGATTGTTTAGCAAAAATTGTTTTATAACAAAAGCGCTTAAGAATTCAATAAGTTGGCTTTTTTAGCAAAGCAAAAGTGTAAAGTATCCATCAACTCATGAAGCACACCGCCAACAGCAGCGATGCTGTTGGGCCAAATTATGGACGCGCTTCAGTTGCTCAACATATGCCAAACGGTACGGTCCACACTGCAGACGAAGAGTTCTCCCAAGAAGCAACCAACGAAAAACGTGAAAATATATTTGAAAACATAAATACGTACAAACACAGAAACATACATACATACATACATACATGCATTCATATATATATATGAACATTCGTTTATAATAATTTTAAGTCGCTCTTGTTTGTGTCGGCAAAGTGTGCAAAATACAGTGATTTGTTATTTATTGTTGTTGTTGTTGCCATCAATTATGGTGCCGCTGTGTCCAAAGCGTTGCTAAGTTGTTGTAAAAATAAAAAATAATAACGCTTGCGTATAGTATAGTGGCGTACTGTGTTAAAAAATATCGGCATATGGCGAGCACGTTGACAGCCGTTAGAAGTGTAGCCCACAAAAACAACAATAGAATAAAGCCAAGAAGTAGACGAGTGTATAAGAAAAGCGTTGCGTCAAACAAAAGCCGTGCGCGTTTTAATAGAAAAGTTAACGGTTAAAAGGTTATTTGAATAAAATTAAGTGGCACAGTGAAGAAAAAAGCAAAGCAAACCCAACTACTTACATACATATGTGCATAAAATCATATCATATTTGTTAAAAAAATAAAATAAAAAATTACACTATTTCTTTTTTTACAAACAAAAATTGCCATTTAACACCCGAATGAGCTCACACAGTCTTCACTTACACGCACACACATAAAAAGTCTTGAAAATATGCGCCAGATTACTAAAAACAACTATTTATGGTGGATCCTTTTACTGTCCGCCACATTTCATCACAGTTCACAAGCCGCAAATTACTTACCAATTGGCGTTAATGGTGCTCCCACAGAGTCAGCGCGCATGGCTATTGCATTGCCACAAGGTTTCAAACCTCAAGCGCCACCCATAAAGCCAATGCTTTTTCCCTTTGTGACACCGACGCCCAGTAGTCCGTCTGGCGGTTGGAAGCCTATAGTTGGTAGTGCTGTCCTCCCGCCACCACCATTAGCGCCACCGCCACTTGCAACGCTACAGGATCGTATCGATAAAACGTCGCCGGGAGAAAATAACGCGCCCATAGAAGGTCCGCTGCTAGAAACGATTGTATATGGCACATGGAAACCGGAGCCGCCGCTAAGCCCGGACGAAATACATTCGCCCACCAGACGACCCAGTGCCACACCCACAACGCAAAACAGTGTTAGAAAACCAAGTAAGTTACACTTACATATATTTTAGTTTGCACATCATGAAATTCACTTAAATTTTGTAGCTACAGCTTCACTTGAAGACCTCGGCTTACAACATCCGTTACCTAACTTGCATACTGATGAGGTGGAGCTAATACAGAAAAATGGACGTAGACGCATTGTAACGGCCCATGCACAACCGACCGCTACAACGCCGCTAAAAGCCGTAATTGTGAATATGTCTGATCCAAGTTTATTTGAAATGGCCAAACAAATAAATAACTCACTTGCTGGCATAACGTCATACCCCACTCAAAAGCCAAAAATCAAAGTATTTAGCCAGAACACTGAAGAAATTTCAGGATACCCAGCGTTTGAAGAAGATTCTGAACCGGAATCCAACACAGACAATATAGACCTCGATGCTAGTAAAGTTTGGCCAACAGATTTTATAGCTTCATTGGAAAGAGGCAGCAAACCGAATTCGACACAAAATTTTAATATCAGTTTTATCGGCGATAGCTCTGATCCGCCTCAGGCTCTGAATGGCCTAAGCATACCGAGTTCTTTGTTACCACAGATATCACTGAACATTACCAAAGTGGGTGTGCCCTACGAGAAGCAAAGTTCTGCCGAAGAGCTAACCCTTTGTGTACCTCTTACCGTACTAGAACAATTGAGTCGAGATGTGGTGATGGAAGTGGAAAGAGTTTATTGCTTTCCTTTACCGTCAACTCATACGGGAGCTCCTAAGCCGAAAAGTGTGACCGCAAAAGTGGAGAATTTTACTGAATATGAAGCGGTGAGTGCGGCAAAGAGTCTTTGTTGGGATTATGCACACATTTCTAGCTTAAGTTTGATTATACTATTTTACCAAAAACTGAAATATTCGTGAGCTAAAATAAAAAAATTTCAAATAAAACTTTGTGGACTTACTTTATTGAATTAAGAACAGAAGCTAATAATTTTGGCTTTATAATCGCAGCCGTCCGGAAGGAGTAAAATCGGTGGCGTCCTCTATCTCTACCATGGAAGAGTTCGTATAATTCATCTTTCTAGTTATCCTTGACGGGATTCATCCGCGCATAACATTGTGTTGATGAGATGTGCCGGAATCTGGACTTTAACCACGTCGTTGAGATGCGAACAGAGACTGGTCATATTCCTTAGAGTACATTTAGTTTTTCGGGACATCAGGATTCCAACACCGTTGGAGCGGGTTAAGACGATTCTATTTTAGATAAAATAATAGACTGCTCGAGTAACGCATGCCAATCCAACCAATAGCGGGCATCCTAAGGTTTTCCACATTCAAAAGTTCCATCTCTCTCCAGATTGATTTGATTTGCTTTTCTTTTCTATGTTTTTATCTTTGTTCGATCCGAGGCGTTTGTATTGTATATCGTGTCGTGAGTAGTAAAGTTTCGATTGATCGCGATGCCAGCCCAATGCCAGTCTCATATGCATGTAGCTAACTTTTTTATTTGCACACCGTTTCATTATCATCAACCTGGGGACGCGTCCCACGGGAGCGTGGAAAGGCATCAAGAGAATCCTTTGTACGATGCATGAACTCATTGCGTTTAGTTTCGGTGTTTGAGAAAGCTGTGTAATGTGAAAAGCACTTAAATATTTTCGCAATGTATTGGCGGTTGTTCGGGGTTTTGGTTCAAGTAAGGTTAGGTTGCTAATCCTTACTTAAACATCTCAGGTAAAAATGCAATCGAGATACCACAATTTTGACACTTCGTTACTGCCTAACATGTTTCATTGAACAGAGCTATTCCGCTCTCTCGGTTTTCTTGAATGAATAACATGACGTGAAAGTATTGTGGGTTATTTAACCAACACTGTAACGAACAGCCCTGCCTTCAATAGAAGTGCAAGACAGCTGTTTCGCAGCTGACGCACAGCTGAAATGATTTTATCATTTGGCACAAAATTTCGCGGTCATCACGACGGATTGGGACGGATTGGCCTCGCTCTTGAACTTGTCATACGCGCGTAATCGTTGGCATAATTTTTACATAACAATGAGAAGATGATAAAATAAGTGCAACTATAATTTAAGCTAATTAAATGTACATATCCAAATTCTGGTGCTACCTAAATTTAATAAGTTTCGACGATTGCAATTACAAAACTATACTACAAACAGAATGCTGAAAACAGTAGCCATTAATACACGATTAAAGTTAGGAGCAGAGTTTCAACAACTGCTCGTGGCACAACAATCACAAAGGCTCTCACAAAGAAGATTTGTAAGCCCTTTGGCTGCGTATAACAGGCGTGTTGCTAGCAAGGAATTGTTGCCTGACAAAGAGCAAAAAGCAACTACTGAGCAATTGGAAACACTTTATAATAGTCTGAAGAATTATAAACCGATTATCAAGGGTGGGGGTGGTGGTGGTTTCTTTAGTTCATTATTTAAAGGTGACAGCAATAAGAATGGCGTGGAATTGAATGTGGGTAGTGACGTCCCACAAGGTCTCTATATTTTCGGCAGTGTTGGTGGAGGAAAAACTACGCTTATGGATATGTTTTTTGATTCCTGCACCGATGTAAGTTTGAAATATTCAAAATATTTAAAAAAAAAATGTATTTATTTATTTTTGTACATTAGATTCAACAAAAACAGCGAGTCCATTTTAATTCGTTTATGACAGATGTACACAAACGCATACATGAAACGAAACAACAACGCGGTCCTAACGATCGTGCTTTTAACACGGAAAGTCCGGCGCCATACGATCCGACACGCCCCGTAGCAGATCAAATAATAGCTGAATCTTGGCTTATCTGCTTCGATGAATTTCAAGTAACGGATATAGCAGATGCCATGATTCTAAAGCGTCTATTTACACACCTTTTCAATGATGGTCTTGTCATGGTAGCGACAAGCAATCGACATCCAAAGGAATTATACAAAAATGGGCTGCAGCGTAGCAATTTTCTACCCTTCATCGATATACTACAACATCGTTGTATAGTCAGTGAACTTAATAGCGGCATTGACTATCGACGTATCGCGAAATCTGGTGCGACTAATTACTTTGTGTATGTAAAGAAAATTTAAATTTCTGCGATTCTTTTGAAACAATATTCAGGCCTTTCAAATTTTTTATTTCCTGCACAGCAAGTCGGAAACCGATGCCAATGCGGAAATGGAACGTATGTTTAAAATTCTTTGTACTCAAGAAAACGATATTGTACGTCCACGTATCATAACACATTTTGGGCGTAACTTGTCTTTCCAGAAGACGTGCGGACGTGTTTTGGATAGCAGTTTTGAAGAGCTCTGTGATCGCGTAAGTTCAAAAAGTGTAATAAATATTTTAACTATATGTTTCATGTATATGTATAATTCATATATACTTTAGCCTCTTGCTGGTAGTGATTATCTTCAAATTGCACAACTTTTCCATACAGTGCTGATACGAGATGTACCTAAAATGAATTTATTTATTAAATCTCAAATGCGACGCTTTATTACGCTTATCGACACGCTCTATGACAATCGTGTTCGCCTTGTTGTCTCTGCAGACACACCTCTTGATAAGCTATTTGATATTACAGACAAGCCCATTGGTTTGGCAGACTCAGAACGTACTTTGATGGACGACTTGAATATTCAACAGGATTCTGTACGTAAATATATATATTTTGTTCAACTGTAAATACTACAATATAACTAAATTTTTTTCTTATGTCAAATGTTTCAGAAAGAATCAGCGGCTAACTATTTTACTGGTGATGAAGAGGCGTTCGCTTTCGACCGCACGATTTCACGATTATATGAAATGCAGAAAAAGGAATATTGGGAACAATGGGCTAAACACCGCTAAATAGTTTTGTATATTACTCTCGCAACTCGTTTAGTGTTCGTATGTACTTAATTTAAAGTAAAAATGACAATATTATAAAATATCATAAATTTCAATATGATACTTTTCAAAATAGAATTTTAAATTTTGCGAAAATTTCAAAATTTGTTCAAGTTTAAATCAAAAAGCTAAGCTTATTACCAAAATTGATATAAGATTAAAAACAGCTTAAAAATGTAATGCTATTACTATAAAACAATGTTATTCTTTAGGTTTCAAATTTTTAATTGTGGAATTCATTAATTTATTTGTCATTTGCAGAAGCAAACGCTGCCAAGTTTTTAGTTGTATATAATGCAAGCTTTAACAATAGTATTATAAAGTACAATATTTAAGTAATAAATAAATGCTAATTAAAAATTTTGAAGGAAATGTAACATAAAAGCAACGTAAATAAAAGCAATATAACATAAACATGCAGCCAGCCAAATGTGCGTTATAAAAACTTTTCTTTTTTATTTTTGCACAAAAAAGATTTAAAGTGTGCAATTATAGAAATTTATTTTTTCTCCGTACTACATCGAAGGTCTTTGAAAATTGATTATTTCTTTTAAATGTCTTCCTCACACTTTAACACTTAGTGTATTAATGGGAGGGCATCGGAATGGGACAATTTTCTTAATATTAATATTGTTCTAGTTCTTATTAAGTATGAAGCCGATTTTGAAAATCTGAAATGAGCTACAGTTTTCGAAATTATTTTTGTTGGGTACCAATAGTGCCCAATGTAGCGTGCAAGTAAAAATGACAGCTGACTTGCCCTGATAGGAATTGTAGATCAAATAACCAAACACTGGCAAACGTTATCAACAAGTGGATTAGAACAGAAGTTCTGACAAAAACAATTTAATATGCAGGTTAATCAAATTTTGCCTTTTGGTAAGTACAAAGTTGAAAGTGAATATTCGAGACAATACTAATTTACCACAAAATGACTAGAGAAATCCCTACTCGATTGTACCATTTCACATCGCCAATTGGAACAAATTGCTGTCGATATTTCGAAGCGTGGCAGTGTTACTGGTCTTAACCAGGTTGTGTGGGCTCTGAAAGCACTTACTCTAACCGACTCCACTACACTTGGTGGTGATGACACAGCGGCGAACGTGAGAAGCCTCTGCCAACGTGCGGCGTTTCCCATACCTGAACATGTTTTGCTGGAGCTTGGCGTTGAACCGGCTCTACTGCCGCATATCCACACCGCTGCCGTATGTGTATATCCCGCACGCGTTGCTGATGCTGCGGCAAAACTAAAGCAATTAAATAAATATGATGACATACCAATAGCTTCCGTGGCAACAGGTTTTCCAGCTGGACAGTATGGCTTAAATTCACGTTTAACCGAAATTCGCTTTGCCATAGACTCAGGTGCTACAGAAATTGATATTGTTATAAATCGCCAATTAGCGCTGGTGGGTGATTGGAGAGGTATTTACGATGAAGTTTGCGAAATGCGTAAAGTTTGCGGCGAAAAAGCACACCTGAAAACCATTCTTGCTATAGGTGAACTTGGCAACATGGAAAATGTAAAAGTTATTTAATTTAAGTAATCAAGAACTATAATAATTTCGTATTCTTTCTGTTAAATATACATATGTAGGTTTATAAAGCTTCCATTGCCTGTATGTTAGCTGGTGCTGATTTCATTAAAACATCTACCGGAAAAGAAGCTGTTAACGCTACTCTACCAGCTGGTCTGGCTATGATCTACGCCATACAAGAATTTGAACGTCGCAAGGGGGTTTTAGTTGGTCTAAAACCAGCTGGTGGAGTACGCACTGTATCAGACGCAATTGCTTGGTTGACACTGGTAAAAGAGACATTGGGTGCACGTTGGCTCCATCCTACTCTTTTCCGGTTTGGTGCATCTGGGCTGCTGGATAAGATAGTGGAAACTGTTAATGTACACGTTCGTGGTCAGGTAATCACCAACAAAGGTAACGCTACTGTTCAAGTAGCAGCTTATTAAGGGCAGTATTTGCATACAGGTAATGAATAAACTGAGTGTTATTAGATTCTTATTGAGATTTAACATTTTTGTACCAGAATAAATTCTAGATAAAATAATATACATACATTTTTCGATTAATTGATATTTAAATTATGCAGATATTTAAAAAAATGTATGTTTTTATTGGGGGCCCACACTCATATACATGCATAAATTGCAAAAATAAATTAAGATTGAACTCTTAGACTAGATGCGTGCTACAGTTCGTATCGATTGCCCAGTTGCAGCCGCAACCAAATCTTCTTCACCACCCTCTTCCCCTTGATTAAGAAACTCATCCTGTGCATTTGCACTGCTAACATGCTCCTCCCTGTGTGGTTGATTATTCGGAATTTTAACTTGCATATCCACTCCAAAGAAAGAATCATCGAAATTGATACGATTCCGTTCATCGTTAAGTAAATACACTGCTTTTGGTAATTGACCACTAGGATCTGTAAGCGCTTCTTTTTCAAAAGTGTTTAACCATTTCAAATTAACTTGTTTAGTGCCTGCGTTGAATTTTTTCGGTAATTTCTTTGGTTTTGCGGCATAGTAATTGATATGATCATTACCCTTGCCAGGCAGAGGTGGTGGTACAATATGCTCCAAATGCTTACTTTTCATATCCAATTTGCCATGGTCGTAGTCGAATACTGGCATGTAGAAATTAAAGGGCTGTGACGCAGGCGGTTGGATTTGGCGATACGGTACAGACACGTCAGTAGGAGTGGCTATAGATTTACTTTTGGTATTTTTCTGTGACGGTGTTGATGTTGTTTCATCTACTAGATAAGCATTGGGCCGAAACAGCTCCCCAGCGCGACGCAGCAACGATTCGAAATCTTGAAGTGTAATATAATGTGGTTGCATTAACTGAATATCTTCAACTGGGTATTTTGGTATCACTGTGGTGCTCATTTTGTCACTGTTTGAGGGCACCACTTGATCAGAGTGTTTCGATGGAGCAGCTGCAACGATGCTCAGCACCATAAACCAAGAGAACTGAATGGAAAGGATAGAATCACTATAAACTTATGTGTTTTTGCATAATCTTAATTCTCACTCACATAAAACACACTTCTAGTCATCCTTAACACGTTTGAACTCCTTGATATAACTGAAAGCAATATACCCGTAGCAATATATTCGCTTAGCAACTCGTAATACACATTCACGTCAGAGCGTTAAATAAACCTCCAGTAGAGGCACAATGCCATTTATATCATAGGAAAAGCGTCACGACGACAAAGAAAGCAAGTGGGGTAGTTTGCCACAGTATATGCATTTCCATGTACGCAGATATGTGTGCCTACTGTTTGCTACAACTACCAAAAACGGAAGCTCGGAAGTCATCTGCAGTGCAGGTAACTCAATTTTCGCCAAAAACCTGTCTCTAAACGAACTGGGAAATAGTAAATAACTGCCTCTTTACTGTTTTGTTGTAGCATCTAGCGTACTCCTGTTGTCTGTCAAAGGCTTACCTACTCACAGGGAAGTGGAACTAAGTATCATAGTTGGAATGAATGGCATAATTTGATGTGTGATTTGGTATAATGCCTTATAACTAATATGAGGCAGAAAATACATAAATGTAATACATATATGCATACACGAGTATAGTAAGTGTGTTAACAACTCAAATGCATAAACAGTTTTTGTATTGCAAGTCTAGTACGTCGACTGCATCTCCATTCAACTAATTCAGCAGCAAGTAATCGTAATGATGTTAATGTAACACCAACAAGAATTACCATGCGACAATTCAACAGCGAAAAACTTTTGAAAACTGGAACCACTTGTCGTGTGTGTTCGAGTATTAAACAAAACAAAAATGCAATTGCTCAATAGAAGCCGGTAGATGCAGAAAAACAAGTCACACAGCTCGAAACAATTGAAAAGGCTCAATCAAATATGTATACACATAAATACATAACATATATACACATATGGCCATTGCACATGAATATGCAATTCGTAATCAACTCTAAAGAAAGTAAAATTGTGGATAAACAAGTTCGTGTAAATGACTTCACTTACATACAAACACATATTGGTGAAATAATCATATTTAATTTACAGAAAAAAAATATAAGCAACTCAAACGGTAATCTTTTGTAGCGAAATGTGGTCAGTAATTCCAGTATTGCAATGACGATTGGAAATTTTTCCTTCCACCAGTTCGTGTAAGTGCATTGACATGCTGGCGAAGTTGCATGTTTACTTTACCGTAATAATAATCAGCTGTGTGCTGCGCTGACTCTTGCATTTCACACCTATAATCATCAGCATCACAATCTTTTTGAACTTGCTCGCATCTAAATACAAGTTCAAAGCTTTCAGATAATTTTGATCACAATTACTGAAAGACACTGTTGAAGTGATGACAAATTTAAATGCATGTGTATGTGCGTAACAGTAGCTTTTAGCAACAAACAGGAAATAAATATTTAAAAATTTTCAAAAGTATGAATGCTTTTCGGCATTTTTAATCGTATGTATGCATAAGTCTGAATAACCCTTGCTTAAAATTATGTACATAACTAGAAGTGTGTAAAGCTTTATAATTTCCCTTGCAAAGTCAAACATTATTTTTTAAGTGAAATTTATTGAATTTATTGTAACAAAAATTTAGTAAACGATTTTAAATAAATTTTTACTTACTTCATATCAAAACTATTTTATTTTATTTTTCTTTGCAATGTTCATAATCAAACTCGCACCAATTCGGGCATGCCTTCTATGATGATTTTTAGAGCTTTCAAGTCCTTTGTAACGGTATCAGTAAGTACTTCCATTGCTTTTTGTTGCATTGCCAAAAAGGATTTCATTTCGTCTTCACTATCCTTGTCTATGGCATATTCACTGCCGCCACTAAACGCATATTGATTTCTTTGCATGCGCATTTGTGATAATAATTCGCTGAGGCGTCCCTGTAAAAATTACATAAGCCATTTACAATTGGCTTTAAGCTCGTTTAGGAACAGAGCTGCATTACCTTGAATTGTGTAGGCGCTGAAACTAATGCTTGCATATTTTCTAATTTTGTGCGTAACGCTTCCTCATCTGGTGTTAAGGCTAGTCCAATTTTCCTTGTACATTCTTGCTTGACAATAATCTAAAAACAAATTAAAATCACATTTTTATTTATATTTAACTTAACTGAAATATAATTACTTTTAATATATTGTGACTCAATTCTGCCAATTTCCGCTTGTGTTCCATTATTTTTGCTGTCGCAGCTACATGACGTTGCCTCAACTCAGCTAAATCCTTTTCCACTTTCTTCAAATATAATGCATGTGTTTCTGTCTCGCTCTCCTGACACTTTGTACGCCACTTAAGATCATTGAAACCAATCATTGGTACTGGAATAAACTTTCTTGCATCAGGATTGTCTAATTTTGCTTGTCGCCACATGCGTGGATCAACACCCTTTGGTGGATTTTCTAAATACTCCTTAAGTTGATCCTCATCTGGTAATACCAAAGCCAACACTTCGACAATACCAAGATTTGCCAATTGGGCTTTCACATTCGCCTGGTTAAGATAATTTGAAACTTCGGTTGCGAGTATTCGTTTTGTTTCATTGGGCGACATTTGGGAGCGCTCTTCTACATATATCACTAATTGACATTTTTTCTCCTCATGCTCTTTCCTGGACTCAATGTTTATAGCAAGATTTGGTTTATTACCAAAAACACTGTTCAGAGAGGTAAGAATTTGTTGCTGCTGAGCTCTAAAAATGGCAAATAGAAAAAAATCGTAAGTGTTAATTAATGTTATATAATAATATTTTTCTTACTTTACATCCGTCAGCGGTTTATTAAAATTCAATGCCACCAATCCTAATTTATTATCTTTCCCAGGCAACCGGCTGTAACCCATAGCTTTTAGGCGACACAAATAGTTTTGTGGCGTAATTTCTACAGGGACTGCATTTTGTGAGTAAAAAGATTTTCCAGTACCCCACATTGCTTGTAAGTAATTCCATTTTGCAATTATTGTGTCTCGTTCATCACCGTAAATGGAAACATTGAAGATAGACTGTGCAAAAGCTTCGTCTGGTGATAGTTGCGGCACAGCTTGCTGTGGCTGTCCAAGCATAAAATTCGTAGCCCCACTGAAGCCTCCAAATCCAGGTGTAACAGTTTGAACAGCAGGCTTTGCAAAAGCTAAATGTAAATAGATTTATTTAGAATATTTTCTTATTTTAAAATGTTATAGAAATTTATGTACATGCACCAAACGCGCTGCCACCGGTACCGAAGCTTCCAAAGGCATTACTTTGAGTACCGAATCCACCAAAAGCAGGAGCTGTCGTTGTTGTTGACGTTGTGCCAAACCCACCAAAGCTGGGAGCACTAGTAGCAGCAGTATTTCCAAATCCACCGAATGCAGGTGCTGTAGATGTGGCTGTACCAAAGCCGCCAAACCCTGCGGTATTTGTAGCGGTTGCGGTTCCACCGAAGAGCGATGGTGCAGAAGAAGTCGCTACATTACCGAAACCTTGAAAATAAGTTGAATAACAAATGATAAATTAATACAGATTAAACAAGCAAAAGTTGTACTTTACCAGTAGCACCAAAAGCTGAAGTACCAAAGGCAGGAGCTGCTGTTGAAGTCGCTACACTACCAAAAGCTGGTGCAGCTGCCGTTGCGGCAGTGCCAAATGACGAGAATAACCCGCCAGCTATTTAAAATTAAGTTTTAGTGATTTATGTAAAAATTTAACTATTTATAGATGAAGAGATAACTACGAATTTGCTAAAGTAGAGCATTAACGTTTCCTACATTGACTCTTATCAGTTCATATTCTAAACCGAGCTCAAATTAATATTTTAGTTGTATTTTTAATCTCCAAACGAATTGTGGTATATATAAAGAACGAATTCATTATGGGTATTGTTGTAACTTTCGTATCCATTGTAGTGTTTTTACCAATTATCTATATCGGCTTTGTGATTTACAAGAAAGGGTAATGACTACGAAATTTAAAAAATTTATGTTTTTTTTAATTGATCTTACTTTACTTTTAGCATAAACATAAGAGATGTGAAAATAAACACCGCGAATGATCTAAAACGTTTGCTCACTCCCCCTCTAGCTAATCGACCACTTAAATATCTCCAAAAAGCTGCTTGATTTAAAAAATTATATTTTATCTTTTTTTTTAATGCGTAGCTTAATACATACGTTTGGCCGGTGTGCTTGTTGCACCTAATGAAGCATTTCCGCCGAAGAATGACATTGTGCCACAAAATTAAATTTTTTAAACTACTTAAATAGTATAATTCTGATCAAAATGGAGTAAATATCTATTTATTTTAAAGCACAATCACAAAATGTTAATTTTTAGAAGAAATAAACAATACATTTCGTTTAATATTGTATAAATAAATATTAATTGGCGCTTAGATCGGGATAACTAGTTTGACAGTCATGGATATTTCACCACTGTGTTTTATCCCAACGTCTTTTTTTTTTTGGGGAGTATGGAACCTGACAGCGTGTTCTTGATTATTATATTTCGAGAAACTATTCATCCAGCAAATTCTGTGTAATTTCCACTAGGTGAAATGTGCAATCTTACGCCTGAAATATCAAAGCTTTAATTCTCCCAACATTGTTGTTGTGATAGCAATATTTATTATGTATTTTCTTTCATTATTTTTATCTGTAATAATTTCCAATGCTGCCATCTACTATTAAAAATAAAATTTGTAGTCACCCTGTTCTGTTCGTCTTACATAAATAATATGGCAGTGCTGTACACATTCTTGACAGCCAAAACAAAATTGACCTGTAGAAGCCAGTCGAAACTTCTACATTTGTTTATTCGTTTTTGGTGTATCGCAAAATATACAACATAGTTTCGTATTTTATTAACAAATAGTTCTCACACCTCGTCTTATTCTTGAGCGTTAACACGTCATAAAAATGTCTTTCGATACAATACCTAAGGATTTGCGTGGACTTCGCGCTTGTTTAGTCTGTTCATTAATTAAAGTATGTTGTAATTTTTTGTCTAAAGAGAATAAGTTATTAATTTTACATTTAACATTTCAGAGTTTCGAACAATTCGAAAGTGATGGATGTGATAACTGTGAGGAGTTTCTCCGCATGAAGAACAACAAAGATAATGTATACGATCACACAAGTAACAATTTTGATGGCATAATTGCATTGATGAGCCCAGACGATTCCTGGGTAGCAAAATGGCAAAGACTCGGTAAAATATTATTTCAGGTGTATTTAGTGCGTAGCTCTTAAATAGATTTTCAAATGAATGCTTTATGAATTTATAAAAACTTATATTTCGTTCGTTCGAAGATATGTGGGTATATACATATTTATTAGAGAATACGTATATAGTCACTTTTTAATTTATTGACCTCTATTTTTAGGTCGGTTCACCCGCGGCGTCTATGCTATTTCTGTGTCCGGCAACCTTCCCCAAGCTACGCTCCGTGAAATGAAAAGTCGAAGTATAGCTTACAAGTCCAGGGACACCAGTCAGCGTTAACATTTTCTTTAGTTAAAAAAAATCAACAAAATATAGACCTCTTTTATATAACTTTATTTCATGCAAATTAATAAAAACAATGTTTTGTGCAAAAGAGATAAAATCGTGGTTAAAATTCAGAATAAGTTTTAAATATAAACAATATTTTCTTGATTCTAATGATAAGTAGGGAAAAAACTTTGATATTAAATTAGGCGTAACAGTTGTAAGTGAATAAATTTGTTGTTCCCCTACAGGTCTCACAAAAAATATTTTTATACGAAATATACATAGTTAGTCTTCCAAAGTCTTTATACGTAAGCCTTCGCCTCCAGCTGTGGTAGCTTGCACTCCAAATCCCGCCGACTCCAATTCCTCCTTCAATTTCCAATAAACCTGATTACTTTCATAATTTTCGGGTAAAAGGACTATGGCGTAACCTCCTCCCCCAGCACCAGTTATTTTGCTGAAGAAACCACGTTTAAAGGCAATGGCGAATATTTGCTCCAATTTAGGATGGGTGACACCAACAGCTTTAAGAAGTTCATTATTTATTTGGAACAATCGTTCGAGTTTTTCAAACCTTTCGCTATCATCCTTTGCATTACCAAAATTTTCATATAAGGGTATAGCATCGGCAACTATCTCTTCGCAAGTATTCCAAATAGAATCGACGACTTTTGGAAATGTTTCCCATAGATGGCGCACCTTGGCAATATTATCTGCAGAGTTTCGATTTACCCGACTGTCTACCAACATTATATTAAGAGGCTTCTGAATTTTAATAGTTTGAAAACCTTGACCTTTAACAAATCTTAGCATTCCGCCGTAGGTAACAACCGTATTGTCAACTCCGGATGGTGTACCATGCATAATCCGCTCCAATTCGAATGCCCACTGAGAGATAAGAGCTTTATTTTCTAATTTCGTGTATGTTTTCTCATCGAAATGTCCAGTTATAATTAAAAAGGCCGCAGCTAATGTAGCACCAAAGGCAGCAGAACTACCTAAACCAGATCCTATATTTATTTCAGAATCGATGTGGACTTTAAAACCAGTTTTTAAAGTTAGTTCCGTATCCGGTGCGGCTAGTACTGTTCCGGCTAATAGAAAATATATGGATAGGAATGTTTTTTGCGATTGCAGATGTTTTGGGGAATTGGTGGTTCCACTCTCAAACTGCTTTGCAATAACAACGCGCACATCCTCAAGCAATTTAGCGGTACACTCTAGTTTACTTTCGGGGTACTTCACTCGAAAATCTCTAACAAATTCATTGAACTGCTGCAATTGAATTTCATAAGTACAATTTAACGAATCTAAAATAAAAACGGCAACATGGCTTTCAGGTTGTGGATAGAATTGTAATTTTGTCGATAGCCCAACAGCGGCGGCAATAGCTGGTTTTTTATAGACAACTGCATGCTCACCGTGGAGAATTACTTTGCCGGGCGCATTAATTTGAAACTTGTTCATTATTCGCGGGTTGTGTTGTTCACGTCGAATTATATTCAATTTATAAATATACGTAATGCTCGGTAGAAATCAAAGAGAGAACTATTTCGTACAAAAACCGATACCGTTCAGCCAACTTGTTTACGCACACCAGCAAAATTACCATAGGGGGGCCAAACAGCCACGTTTCGAACGAATTGGGTTTGTGTTAAGTAATATTTCCAAATCGACTTATATGCAAATTAGGCTGACTTTTAGTTCACAGATCGGTTATCAATGCACTTTGACTAAAAATATATAAATGCTTTTTAGCTTTGTTTCTTCCTCTTTTCACCAAACAATTTAAGAACTACGCGCATGCGCTACTTATTACGTCTTTTCTGTTATGCGGTTGTTAATATACTTTCACTTTCTGATCGTATGGATGTGATATGATTGTATGTATGTTAACATAAATATGTACAGATGCGGATTAATGCCGTTTGCTGACGACGTTAAAATGGAATTTTACACGATTTTTTGCTGTTTCCTAAATAGCTTTACTTTCGTGTTAATATGTAAAGCGAGTTATAATAAGAAACCATTAAATTTTTACATTAATATTATTGCAATTGCTGTTGCACTTTCTCCCACTCTTCGGGTGTGTATGATTTTTGTGAGAAGGCGTGTATTTCCTTAAGCTCCTCCGCAAGAGCGCTATTCACTAAGCGATGTTTCTGCAGCAATGTCTTACCACGGAATGCCTCTGAAACAATAGTTACACTGAATTTACCACCACAACCGTCCGATTCGTCAATCGCATTCACGTATTGTGCTCCCAATTTATCCGCTAGTTTTTCTTCCAGATACTTTGATGTGTATTTGCTCATTTTATTTTAATTTTCAATTTTACTTTTAGTTTTTCTTCAATTTGCTTCATACGGGTATGTAGGTATTCCGGTAGAAGTATTTGTGTCTAATAAAACGAGTACTGGTTAATACGTCGTCATTTATTTTTATTATATTTAAGTATAAAAATTAATAAATGGAATTGTATGAGTAGGAAAGTCCAGATGTACGTACATACCTATATACAAATATTCATACCAATAAAATAAGCATACAATTCTGTCTTGAGTTGATTGTAATTTGGTTACGGTGATATCGGTGAGAATATAAATACATATATACGTACATAAAAGTGTGATTAGGTAACCACATTTATAATTATGTAGAATGAATAACTAAACCAATATTTCAGGTTATTACTTTTTTATATCAACTATTTACCTTCTTTAATTTGCACACCGGAGCAGGAATAATAAAACTTTACAACTTTTTGGGCATGAACCCTGTGCGGACAGCTGTCATTCGAGACTCGAAATTGCGTAAAGTGAGAAAAGTTAATTTTGTTTCAACGTAGATGAGTTTTGCAATTACTTACATATTCACAGCATTTACCCGCATAAATAAACTTCATTTACACATTATTTTAAAAGTGTACAGATTTCGGTACTCATAAGTAAAAAAAAATAAGTCATAAAGTTAAGATTGATAAAACCACAGGCACCCTGTTTGATCAGCTGAGATAGTTAAGTAAGGTTAAGTAGTATATAACAAAATTTTCACATCTGAAATAAATTTAAACAAATAGTTTAAATATAAAATTGTTAAATTAGTAATAATGGCACAACTCCGGCGAGAAGTAAGTGAAGATTTTGGACTTATTAAGATGAAAATTAAAAAATTGTGCGCTGTCATTAGGCTTTACGGATGTTTAAGAAACTTCATCGTACCAGACAGTTTGTATTTCAAGGAGATGAACGTACTTTAGAAGCTGGACGGAGAGAAATTAATGAACACTTTCGTAAAAATCGTAATGAAAAGAATGAGGATGAAATAAAAAAGGTTTACAATTGATGCTAATATACTTACAAAATTACAAAAATATTTAAAATATGTTTATACAGATGATAGCGCTCGCAAAGGATGTAGACAAAGAACTGCGCACAAGTGTTATACAAGCAGTACAAGAAAAAGAAGGCGTATATCGTAAGTTCGTCACATGAAGAGAATAATAACAAACATTTATAGTTATTTTGCACTATTAGAACTGCGTATCACAGAGGAAACCACACGTTTGGATAATGTTGTTTTTAATCCAGATGCAATAATTGAGGGCTTAAAACCAAGTGGACGAAAAGAAAGAACCAGTGGAGGTTGCTGTGGGGGACAAATGGCAAGCAAAGAAAAGATAAATCCTAATAAAGTTCGATCAAATTAAAAATATTTCAATATTTTCACATAAGTACATATACCTTCCAGATATTGAATAAACATAAAAAGAAAATTTATCTCATTTAAAGTCAAAAAGTGCAATAAAAGCATTTTATTTCTTTTTGTGGGCTCTCTTATGGAATTTGCCTACAGATTTTTTCTTTTTTCCTTTAGTGCTTCGTTTTTGTCGCCTTGACTTTTTACTACTATCACTGGACTCGTCACTACTAGTGGTTTCACTAGATGAATCACTTGTTGATACGCTGGAGCTGTCGCTTTCACTTGTCGGCGAGCTATATTGTCTGCTACGTTTTAGTTTTGTTCCGGAGTCATTGTTCCTGCTTCTATTTGTTGTTTGCCGTTTTTTATCATGCTGACTTACACTACTTTTATTGTCGTTGTCATCTCGATGCTTAGTACTTCCTCTTACGTTGTTTGACCTTTCTCTCGATTCGACATATTTTCTGTGTTTTTCTTTTTCGGGTGAATTCCTCCTTGAGCGATATTCATTACGACTAAGAGATCGTCTATAACGTTCCCGTGACCGCCTTCGTTCTCTTTCATTCCTGTCATCATATCTATATTTTCTGTAATGCTCTTCTTCATTATGTGAGCGGTACAGCTTTTTACTATTTTCCCGGTCCCTTTTGATTTGCTCACGGTGACGTTCTTCACGTGCAAGTTTCCGATCGGATGAACTTACCTGTTTATATTTTTCTCGGTCGTTTTCATTTCTTTTGCCATCCTCCTTTCTGAGCGTTTTTCGCGGTTCGCGTAAGTTATCAAATTCATTATTTTTTAAAGAGCCTTCAACTCCTCGACCCTTCCCTCGCCATTTCACTTTGGCAACTGACTGTGAGAAGTCTACATGTATACGGCGGTCATCAATTAATACGTTATCCATTTTAAAATAAGCAGCTTCACACGCTTTCTGATCCTCGAACTCTACAAATGCATATTGAAGGGAGTCGCCAGTTTTTCTATCCCGAATTACTTCACAAGTTTTTACTTTGCCAAAGCGGCTAAATATAATCTCTAAGTCATCGTCGGTTGTGACTGGATTTAATTTACAAACAAAGAGCACATTTTCAGGTGGTGCCATTTCTGCATCTGGCAAATCGCCAACAATCTCAAGAATAGTTGCACGAGCTTTTGCTTCACGTTCAGCGAGCATTTCCTGTAATTCTGCGGTAGTTTTCCCATCTGTGTCATCAATGTCTTCATCGGCGGCAATGCGTCCATTTTGTAGGCGTTGTGGTGTTGGAGATGGTGAACGACTTGGCATTAAAAAGTTACGTGGATCTGGAAATGGATCTTCTAATATTACGGTATGCGTTATGCGAATGTCCTGGAAAGGGCGAAAGTTTTCATCGACGATCGCTTCGTTTATTTTACGAAGAACCTCATGGCCTACAAAATTTAAAAACCATTACTTTAAAATGTATTAGCAAATGAATAAAAATTTCAGTGTAAATACGATGAAAAGGTGTGCGTTTTATATTGATTTCAGTTAATAAATCATAAAAAATGCCTGAGGAAATCTTTCTAATTGTTTTTTTTTATAACATATCTCCTTTTCTTTATCGTAATATTCACGTCTTTAATCGCCTCTCACCTTCCACAACTTCGCCAATTACACAATGTATACCATCCAATGAGGATAGATTTGGTGCCAAGGTGAAAAAGAATTGCGATCCTATTAAGTTTTTTCCGGCGGATACCAGTGATAAAAGACCAGCCGATGCATGATAAATTTTCGGCAAGTTTTCAGCTTCGAAAAATCGTTTTCCAGGCCCATCTATCTCGCCCCAAATAGAACTTCCGCCATTTCCCACTCCAGTAGGATCACCAGTCTGTGCAATAAAACCGCGTTCAATAGTGTGAAAAAGATTATAATTGTAGTATTTAATTTTACATAGCTTAATAAAATTTAAACACGAAATCGGTCGCTCTTCTGTAAAAAGATCCACTGTAATATCCCCTATAGTGGTTTCAATAACAACAGACATTTCTTCCTTATTTTTTTCAATGCTCAAAAAAATCTGAGGTACCGAATAACAAAAGTTTTGAATGGGAAAGTAGAATAAGAATATTGCTAAATTATAACCACGTTAGTGAATATTTAAACACAGGGTGCTGCTGCGCAATGAATAATTCTTTCATTAATTATCATTATTCGCTAGACAAACCCATAGATTATTGCAAACTACCCGAATATTTATAACATGCGGTATTGTTTTACACCTAGACAAAAAATCTATGACAATTACAGTACTAGCAAAGTACATTATTCATATACGTTCTTTGGAAAACGCTAATTTTTACACGCGACAAATTTTCTACTGATTGGCAACAGACCATAATAGTAAATGATTTTCTGGCAACATTTCACAGAATCTCATTTTGACATTAAAATTAAAAAAATAAAAATATATTTATAAAAGCTTTGAATGGAAAAAGTGAACGCATCTCAAGAATCTCCCAAAAACTCTGGGAAAATAGAGAACCAAGATGGAGTAGTACCTGAGCACGATGATCATGACAATGCAGCCTGTGCAGATACCTACAATATCTCTGCCCATCCTGACGAAAGTGATCATCTTGGTGAGGATTTGGTCCTTATTCGAGGCGATGCGATTGGTGACACTTTATACAGCGCACGTTTCGTGCTCTCCACATTACTTAAACTGACAAAAGTTGAAAAAGAACTAGCCGAAAATGAAGGCTTTGAAAATGATCTATGCTCAGTTTGGGATATGACTATTGAAGAGGATGTTGTACAACTTTTGTTAGAGCATAATGTATTAGAGCTCTTCGCCCATAGCATTAATATAACCGATGATAAGCGTTTGGTTGAAATTTTAGTAGGAATATTGGGGAATATGTGCAATTTCAAATCAGCTCGTGATTCACTTATTGAAAATACGACACTAGTACAAACACTACTAGATTTAACTAATTGCTCGGATTCGTTAACGCTTCTTCAACTCACCAGATTGTTCTCCGTTGTGCTTATACACGCTGACAGAGAAATTGCGCTACGGTGGTATCGACATATTTGCCTTTATCCGGACTTTGCTAAAAATATAACTTTTATACTTAGTAATTCTATAAATGAACAGCTTTTGCGGCAAACTATGGAAACATTGAACGCTATTCTTGCAAAGTTTGCTATAATAGAACCTAATCAAAATAATTCTGGGTTGGATAATGGTGATGAAACGGAAGCTGCAAATATTTTGCCTACATTTCCGGAGATCTTTGTCAAAGAAGATCTAATTAAAGCAACCACAGAAGCATTTCTGGCTCTGTTACCGCGAAAAGATAACTCAGACCCTCAAGAAAATCTCGATGATGATGATGATGATGATGATGATGGAAACATGATTATACTTACGCAAAGTACTCACAATTTAATGCAAATATTCCTCAACATACACTGTATTTTAACACAGTATGAAGATTTATCACAAAGTTGTTACTTTCTACATATTGAATCTTTAATGGAGTGTATAGGATATATTTTAGAACCTATGTGCAATCCGAAGTATAAAGAACATTTAAGTAATCAGGAACAAGATCTGTTAGACAGCATCAATGATATTTTTGAGGTAATATTTCTGGTTATTTTTAGTATACATACATACACATTGTATACAAACTTCAACTATTTGTGTAAAACTATTTCTATTTTCAGTCCCTTGGAGATCCTTTTGATGAGCGTTGTCTGATATATACTATAAGTATTTGGAATTTGTTAAGAGAAGAAAATGAACAGATAGCTCGAAGAACACCACCAAATAATGAGTTTGAAGAAAACGAATTAAAGGACGATGATTTCAATTTTGAGACTGCATATTTAACAATACTTGATATGATAGTACGCATAATTAACGCAGCTACTGATGCACAATTGGAAAATATATTTAAAGAAAATCTTGATGAAAATATGAAGAATTTGAAAAATACACTGAGTATCGGCGACAATGATCAATCGACCAAGCGTTGCTACTTAAAAATCCAAAATATTTTGCAAAATATACAAAAGAAATAATTTAATAACTGTAGACCGATTTTTTATTTTAGCCTTAAGTGGTTTTTTAAGGGCGCTCAGATCATTAAATTAAATACTTGAATAAGCCACAAAAGCTATATAAGTGCAAATATTTTAAAATGCCAGCATATATTAAATTTTTTATAATGTCGAAGAGTATTTCTTTCAGATTATTTGGTATCGGATTTGTTTAATTGAGCATATACAGATCCTATCCAGGATAATTTGCCAAGTTGAACTTTCCCATTACTATTAACAATCAAATTACTCGATGTATTCTCGGGTTTCAGCAGAAAAATTGTGTTGTCGTCGGTTATACAACTTTGTAAGTGAGAAAGAGAATCGTCTAGCACAACGGCTCTCGAGGTAACTTCGATATTTGACTGTTCTTCTATTTGCTCAGAAATGTTTATTAAAGCTTGCTCTACTTCCTTAGCATTAATAACACTATTACCGGTCAATTCAGATATTTGTAAGCTTAATTTTCCACCATTAGTTCGCACCGTAAGATTTCCATTAACACCGGCTGTTAGAAAATAAAAATTAAAAAATTAATTAGTATTCGAGCAATAAGATCAAAGAAATCTTACTCATTGTTAGTTCACCATTTCTTTGGACATCCACTTCAATTTTCTTGTGTACATTTTTAAGTTGCAATGAGCCTGTTAATGTTACAAATTTGGATTCTTCCACATAGCAAGAGTTTGTTGAGATATTACCAGCTTCTGTCTTACAGTTCAAGTTAATGCCTAACAACTTGTCTAATGAAATATTCTAAGACATATGTTTTTATAATTAATGTATGAAAATATATTATTATGTAATGTCTCACCCCTAGTGCGTTGGTCTCCACTATAGTTAACCGGCCACGTAAGAGACTTTCACATGTAATATCACCGCTGTTACTGGCTAGGGTGACATTGTCCGCTTGTAAATCTTTAGTTTTTATATTCTTTTGCGCTCGCACAGTGATCTCCGAACTGCAGATGTTTCGCACTGTCACACTGTCTTTGGCATCGATGTGTAGATCGCAGCGCATGGGTACCTCCAGGTCACAATAGAAATCTGCTGAGTCCGATATTTTCTTTAGTGCTATATTTACTAGTTTCTCATCTTCACTGACATCCACATGCATGGTAACAGGGCAATTTCGAACATGTCCACCAATTAGCATTGCGTTTAACACATTTGGTTCAGGATATTTATCCGCGGGCGCACCTAGCACCCGCACTTTAACATCAGAACGGACATTTATATGTGCAAATGGATAAATATAACGAAAGACATCCTGATGACAAGGTTTTCTGGGAGGATTTTCCGACAAAATATCACTCATCTTATTAGATTTTATTGATTTTTTCCCATACAAACGAAAATTTATAAATCGTGTTAATGGTATAAAGCGATGAGTTAACAGCATTTCTTTCGGTACTAGTAAAGTTTTTAATATTTTCATTCAAGGCAAGTTTATAAATGCTAAAACAAATTTGCTCGGAATGAGAACGTTTTTCGACCGAAGTATATACAATTATTTATCAGCTGACCGATTAAAATTAATTTGAAAGCGAGTATGTGAGATAAACAAAACCAAAAATATAATGTAGTAAAAGGGAAAACAGAAAAACCGAATTAAGGAACCAAAACAAAAGAACCGCTTAATTAAAACATTACCTAGTAGTAGGAGAAATCATTTTTCACTAACTAATTAGGGAAAACAATTAAACATTTTTGGAAAAATACTAATTTAACTAATATAAATTTATCCTTTTATGTTTCCTTAATTAAATATTTTGCAGTTTATTTTTACTTTAACTAACTTGATCATTTATACCCACTAATATTGAAGTCAAATAGAAAACAACGTTGTACTGCTGTTGCTGTTTTTTGTGGAGTTTTAATCGTTTCCTCTCCCATTAAAAAATATGTTTATAATATAATAATTAAATTTTTTATTGTATGTCGATTTCCATGAAACCATCAGCATTCGTTAAATGCTGATTCTCTTTTTTAGTACCTTCTTCCACAGCATAACTTGGTCCAATTAAGCAATTCTTCAACACAGAACCCCGTTTAACGACAGCCCTGCTCCCAACAATACAGTTTTCAATGTTGCAACTAATAACAGAAGTAAATATTTTCAATATTTTACATGTAAAGTTGTCGAAATAACTTACCCCTCCTCAATAATAGCACTTGTCATTATAATAGATTTGTTTATAATATTTTTTGGATTTATAGTACAGTTTGCGCCAAATACACTAAAATTAAGTGATGTCTTTTCAGATAGTTTGGCACTATCACCCACCGATATTTCCTTTGTTTGCGTTGAGTTTATAACGGCATGGGATGAAATGAGTGCATGTTCTTGTTCTTTAAAGAATTGCGACCAAACGTTGGAGATCTAAAAGAGATAAATACACATAAGAGAAATATATACTATATTTAAATCATACCTTTCTATTAATGGCAAAGAAGCTTAAAGTTGTGTTTACTCGAACACCAATACTATCTTTAGGTGCTATCACAGCATAACATCGTATTAAATCGCCATTGTAGGGTTCCTTGACTCGCGAATCATTAAACAAAGTCGCCTTCTGGATACGCTGTTCTAGCTGTGAATTTGCGGCATACTAAATGTACCAAAGATATTGAATTTGAGTAAAAATGTTCGTCCCACAACACATGTAACTATCTCACATGGAAAATATCATTTTCTGATTTTAAGTTCACACCGACTTCCGAATGCATATCCGGCGCAGCTACAGAGCTTCCCGATTTCTTCGACATTTGCTTTTTTATAATGTAAGGCAAGAACTCTCCTTTAAGTGTTGAGAAATTTTCTTTCTAAGATATAGAATCATGTACATATACACATTAAAATTATTCTATAAATTACAAATAAATAGAACTAATCATATACCTTTAGAAGAAAGTCGATTATCCATTTCTTCATTACGTAAATATGGGAGTCCACCAACCTAGAGAATATAGTCATTTTCCCATTCTTACGCAGCAAATGGGCATTTACGCTCATTACTTCTTCGAAATCACTAGTCGATGCAAGAAACAGTAAGCGATCTGATTCAGGATGAATACCAATTAGATCCCGTTCCGGTTTGTGCTTTGTTTTTGGACCTGGTAATGTTACATCCGATTCGAAGCCGCTTTTAAAAAGCAATGCAGCCATTGCGGCATCGTGTTGACGAAATTTATTTATGAGAGGAAACAAACTTACATTTGACACAATGTCGCAGGATAATACCAGAAAGTCAGACTTAATTCTATAAAAAAAAAATAAGTTCATTTTAGTTTTAAAATTTTCCGCTTATGTACTTTTTTTCTTACTTATCGTGAATAAGACGCAAGCTATCAGCCGTTCCGAAGTCACTATCACTATCAATAGCCACAAAATCCATTTTTATCTTCAGAGGTGCACGTTCCAGGGTCTGCTGAATCTCGGTTCGCTCACTTTCCAATACCACAATAATTACCTCTATAAAAAAAAAAACATATTATTTGTATGGAAAATTATAACGATATTTTTTTACCCTGAAAGTTGTGCTGTTGGAGCATATTCAAAGGGTACCATATCAATGGATACGGTCCGATGGGCAGCAAACATTTTGGCGAATCAGCCAACACTTCGGGTAGTCGCGTACCCTGCCCTGCTGCCAAAATTATAGCTTGAAATTCTTGTGTTACCATTGCAATTCAATTACTTTACTTTTACTAATGAAAAATTAATTTTATGCAAAAATACTCAATTGCTGTGAAATACACGCTCTACGCCAAATTGACTATATGTAAACTGTCAAAATCATCTGCTCTCAATTGTCATTCCTAACTAAAGGCGAATTTGTTGAGCTCACACAAGGGGAGCCTCGAAGATATAGCGAAAAAGAATTTTTATTAGCTCTACTCGGCGAAAATTATCAGTAAGAATTATGCAGTAATGTCAAAATGTAGCTCTCTGAGCTTATTGTAAAATTTAGTAAGAGTAATGATTTTCGCTACAAACTCCTCTAACATTTTCCGATTTTTCGCGTACGAGCATCTTCATTGTGAAAACACACAGTTAACTCAGTTCCACTTTACACCGATGTTGTCAATACCGAGTTGATCGAAGATACATCTTCTAGCAGATTCTGTTTGAATGTTCGCAATAACGACTATTTGATACACGCTCTTTATTTAGAACATTCTTTCTTTTATCGGCCTCTTCCTTTCACCTTACATTCGTATTTTGCATTTTCGACACAATACTATAAATATAGAAATCTTTATAAATGAATATACTAGTAGTATGTATGTATTTGACAAAACACTCGTACCAGTATCCAGTACCGCGTTGAAAATATGTTTCGCAATGATTGGAACTTATCAGTGTGGCTTTAGAACTGGTAAGCCAGATATTCATAATGCGCCAAATCTTGGAAAAGCCCCGTGACAGTACTAAAAGGAGCCGATTCTACGCCGCTATGTCTGAATTTGATATTTCTGCAAAACTTATACTGCTGTGTAAACTGACGCTAGACAACACCGGAAGCACAGTAAGAATTGGGAAAGACCTCTCGGAGTCGTTCGATACCAAACAAGGTTTCAGACAGGTTGACTCGTTACCGTGGGATATCTTCAATTTAATGCTGGAGAAAATGTAAGATGTGATAACAGTGTTCAACTACTGGCGTGTGCCGATGATATTGATATCATAGGCTGGAACAACCGCAACGGTAGTTCTGCTTTTTTCTTGATAAAAAAGCGAAGCGAACTGGCTCCCATGTCATTGTTTGACAGTCGTAACCTCGAGGCCGTAGATAATTTCTATCTTGGAGCCAGTATCAACACCAGTAATAATGTCAACCTTGAAATCCAACGCAGAATCACTCCTGCCAGTTTACTACTCCAATCAGTTTGGTTCTACTTTGGACTGAGTAGGCAATTGAAAAATAATTCTGCTTTGCGAGTCTTCGAGGGAAAAATTTTGCGATCGATTTATGGTCCTTTGCGCGGGGAATACCGCAGACAATGAAACAATAAGCTGTACGAGTTATGCATAGAATGATATTGATATAGCTCAGCAAATGAGATAGCGGCTACGCTGGCTAAGCCATGTCGTCCGAATGGATGAAACCACTGCAGCTTTGAAAGTGTTCGCTGCAGTACGCGCTGGTGGAAGCAGAAGAAAATGAGGACATTCACTCCGTCAAAAGGATCAGGTAGAGAGTGACCTGGTTTCACTTGGTTCAACGTTGAACCAATTTACGGATGCCTGATTCATAGAAATCGCGCGGTTTCTCGTTGAAAAAGGTGTCAAGATGGCTTTTGACATCTTCCACATTTTTAAATTTCCATTCAATTTTTCCATTCAAATTGTTCTGCAGCGATCGAAGCAAATGATAATCAGAAGGTGCAATGTCGGGTGAATATGGGGGATGCGACATGATTTCCCAATTCATCTCCTTCAGTTTGGCCAGGGTCGGTTTTGCAACATGTGGCCTGGCGTTGTCATGATGGAAAAGAACTCCTTTGCGATTGGCCAAAATCGGAAGTTTTTCATCAATTGCTTTCTTCCATTCGACCAATTGCTGACAATACTTGTTCGTTTTTGATCCGTCGAAGCAAATAAATCGCTGTTGACGTACGGTCCACTTTGTTTTTTTCACTCAACTGATGTGACACCCATGTATCGAGCTTCAAAGTGTACCCAACTTTTTTAAACGACAAAACGCAGTTGATTTGTTGACGTTCAATTCACTGGCAACCTCTGCCGTCGAAATACGTGAGTTATTCGCAACTAAAGTCCATAGAACATCGTCATCAAGCTCAGAAGGCCGTCCACTGCGAGGTTGATCTTCGAGGTTAAAATCTCCAGAACGAAATTTCGCGAACCATTTCTTTACTGTACGGAGTGCTGAAGCACGGTGCAAATAAATTTCGCGAATATCTTTAGTTGCAGCGCCTACTGTTTTTCCTTTGTGGAATTCGTATAACATAATATGACGCATATGATCTTTTTCGTTGTCCCTCTTCCATGCGTCTTTTCACTAAGCAACTCAAATCAAAATGAAGTTATTTTATACTTGATTGACAGTTCGGACTGTCACCTTTCCAACGATATATAATATGTATATATTTCTTTCACGAGCGCCACTCTCAAACGATTCGAACGGCATCCAGCGGAATCGAACTTATGCACTTATGCACTCATCCAATATTTTCAACTGGCGTCAAACAGCAATAAATAATACGACTGTAATCACGTAACCGGTGACAACGCCAATAAAGAAGAAGAAGATTGATAATTTCTGTTCCACTTTGTCACAATGCTTCTAAATCGAATTTGAACACACAGTTTTTTTTTTAATTTTTATTTAATTTACAAAAAATTACGTCTGTAATCTCTATCCAAGGTTCCGGACAAATAACCATTCATAATTAGGTACACATATAATACGATTTTCGGGACTATTTTAAAACTCGTTATATATGTATATGTATATGTAGTTGTTATAATGGTAAAAAGCTAAGACAAAATAAAAATTAAAACTGTTTATAATTCGTTAGACTTAAGGCTTACAGCTAGAAACAATTCGAAGAATTCGTTTTGTATTTGGAATTCAATTCACGATGCTGTTGTTGGACAAGATGAATATGAATGTAATTATTAAAGTAGATTGATAATAATATAAAAATAGTGAGTTAGGATAAGGACGACGAGCTCGAAATGATTTGGTCAACTTTACTTTCTTCGTTCGTATAGGTAATCGTCTTCGTAATAGCGCGGCGTCGAAGTCGCAACGAAAAGTTGTGGTCGACGTTGCAGCAATGAAATGTTGATCTCCTCTGGCGTGCGATAGACCTGAGGTTGTTGCACGGCATGTTGCAACGGTGATGCAGCTGTGAAGAATCTATATGGACTTGGTGTCACTAGAGGCGCAATGGTTTGCGCGATAGGACGCTGTTGGATGGGATGTTGTTGGATTGGTTGGATAAGTTGCTGCTGCGGTTGGGGTTGTGTTGTAGTTGTGGTGGCAACAGGCTTACGATAAACGGTTGTTTGTTGCTGTTGTGCTTGTTGTTGTTGCTGGACCGGTTGATGACGTATTTGTTGTACTTGTTGGCGGGGTTGCTGGTAGATCGGCTGCTGTTGTTGCTGCTGTTGAAAGCCGACTTGAACCTGAGGAGCAAGAAAATATGTATATTATTGTTAAAATAGCATAAATACATCTGTGAACTTTTATAATATTTACAGGTTGTCGTTGATGATTCACACGTTGACGCGGCGCTTCCTCTTCATCTTCATAACGTTCGTTTTCATAATAATTTTCGGGATAATAACGCTCCGAATACCGAAGAGTGACGTTGGGTTTGCTTTGGTGCTCCTGTAAGTTTATTGGTTTGTAGAGGTAATCGTTAACAATATGATATTTGGAGGATTGCTGGCAGATATTGTCATGCGATGGCGGCATACAAATTAGATGGATTTGGTGGAAGGTGAAACCTTCGGGACAGATCCAAGAATGGCGTTGATTATCTTGACAATAATGGAATACTTCGCAGCTTAGTGACTCATCGGCATAATAGCTGAAGAAACAGCAAGAGAATAAATAAAGAAAAATAAAAAATAGATTCATTAAATGAAGTAACAGATGTACACGTATGAAAAGCAATAAAAAAGTAAAAATAACACTAATAACAAAAATTGAATCAATTTAAAATAATATAGTCTCAAATAAAATAAAAAAATAAAAATAAAATAAAATAAAATAAAATAAAATAAAATAAAATAAAATAAAATAAAATAAGATAAACCAAAAATTAAAAAATAGAATAAAATCAAATTAAATAAAGTTAAACTAAATTAAATGAAATGAAATAGTATAAAATAAAATAATATAAAACGAATAAAATTAAAAAAATGAAATAAATTTAAATAAAATAAAATAAAGTAATATAAAATAAAGTAAAACAAAATAAAATGAGATAAATTAAACCAAAATAAAATGAAATTTAATTAAACTAAAATTTAATGTAATAATATAAAACAAAGCAAAATGAAATTAAATGAACTAAGAACAAAAGTAATAAATGTTAAGGCTTATATAATATATTTTTTCACAATTTCACAAACCCTGAATTTTTCGAATTGCAACTAAACGATGATTTAGCCAACAATTGTGACAATCTGTCTGGCTCCTCCTCTGGCTCTTCCTCACTTTCCTCCTCGCTCGTCGGCTTTTTATTCTGCTTCAAGTAATTACTCTGTTGTTTCACATTTCGACTTTGATAAATTTGTCGTGGCGCTTCCTCCTGATCCTCCTCCGACTGGCTGTAGTCATATAATTGACGTTGTTGTTGCTGTTGCTGTTGTCGATAAGCTAAATGTGTCTGAGCTTGCGATTCAAATTCATCCTCATCATCTGTAGCTTCGATGGAGCGTGCAGCAAAACCTTGTGGTTTAGCTGTAGTCGCTGAGGCAGTAACATCACTGGTGGCTGCGGAAAACGCGCTGCCCATTAAGCATGTCGCAGAGATTAGTAATACCAGACGTAAGCTGGAAGAAAGGGAAAAAGGAAAATTTTTGTTTTACAAAGTAAAGTAATGTAATCGAAATAGGTCATTCGAATGTATTAGATAATGCTAATAATGAGTAAATGAAAAAATAAAAATAAAATAAAATATTTTCAGAAATTATTACATATAAATTTGTTAATATACACGAGAACTATTTTTTGCTTTGTAAAAAAAAATATATTAAACTGTATTGAACATATATAATATATACTCATAGGTGTTATTAGTAATTTAAGATGCCCCTGAAGACAAAATTCCGAAATTTAGAAAAATAGTGTTTTCACTCATATATATTTACTGAAAATGCTTTAAATACAATAAGATATTTTTTATTGCTTATTAGAGAATTGTCTTAGCCATCTCGTTACCCAGTCCTGAATTTCTAAGGTAAAGGTTAAAAGTTTCGGAGTAAAAAGATACACATAATCTCCTCACATATTAGATTAGCTTTCAGTACAAATGGTTGTTTCCTCCTAAGTATTTTAAGGGGTTTATTTCTTATGTGTATAATGACTTATTGTTAATTTATTTTCAAATTTTTCGTTTTTCATTAGCCTTCTTTATTCCCATTATTATTTTTTGTTTACTTATTTTCACTTTTTATACTCAAGTACAAACACGTACATTTACATATGCACGTATATAACTACTATGCAATCGTTGAAACTACTTTATGATATGGGAAAATTTCGAAAAATCACTTAACAAAAAAAAAAATGAAAAAAAAATATTCAAATAAAAATTTCGTAGAAGAAATAAAATGTTAAGGCTTGAATGTAAAAATATCTAGCCATTTATACGCGTTGTTTGTACCCTGCAGTTAAATAAGCTAGTTAAAAAATGCTTTGAAACTAGTACAATACATCAATGAAGCGTAACTAGTCAGAGCACAGCAGATATCGCGGACAAATATGCAAGAAACAGCACTTAAAACACATGGACTTATAATGCTAAAGTCTTTTTTATTGTGTATAGTACAATACTTGGTCAAGTGGTTAGCATTGCATACAGCCATTGTAAAGGCCAGGATTCTAATTGCGATCGCCCCTCGACAGGGAATGGCTGAGTGTATTTCTCACATGAAATAAAAGTCTTTTCATAAAAGTCAAACGGTTATTCGGTGCCGACTTAAAATAAACTATAGGTCGCTCCAATCGCTTTAACGGCTACAAAGCGGCAATCACATATAAATTTTATAATATTTAAATTGACCTCAAAAATTGACGGATTTTTGCAATGGTTTAAATCCCCTGCCGGACACTCATCGAATCTGTAAAATTGTGCTTAAACTCATATAGAATAGAATAGGAATAGATTTTCTACTTTACGTTTAGATTTGAAAATAGCATGAGATATTTTTTTACATATATTTTTTGTCATATATAAGTGAAATTTAAGAACAATTTTTCAGACCTTCAGGAGATCGCAAATGTCTGGAAATGAGTAAGGTCAGGTTTCAAGTTTCATAAAATAACTTATGTTTAATTTCATTTAATATTTTTTTAAATTTAATTTTATTTAATTATTTGTATGTACTTTATAATATTTGCATTTAAAACATTTTCAGACTAGAGCGTTTTCTATCTCTCATTTGTATTATAAAGTAATGCACAACCCAACCAGTTTGATATTCCACTACCGGGTATGGTTCCCCACTTATGATTGTATCAAAACAAAAAAAAAATATTAAAAGCAACAAAAGTACGCGGGAAAATTTTGTGGTGCGAAATTTGGAATTGTAGAAGTCAGTTATATTGGCGAGCGAATAGACCCAAAAACAAATAACAAATAACACTGAAGATGCGCCAAATACTGATGATGCTAACGGTGTTGTTTCGCCGCGGGCAGTGGACCAAACAAACACTTATATGCACTCATACTAGGTATGTATGTAGATGCCAGCTTAGTAATGGCAAGTAAGGAAGTACTATTGTTTGGTGAAACCAAACGGATAGATATTTGAGGAATGAGTGGAGAGAATGCTGCGTTTAATATGTTTCTCTTGGCTTCCTTCTCTAAGCGACTAAAAAAAAACTAAAGGTGTACAAAAAAAGCAATTTTTTTTTGAAAAAGCAACAAAAACCAATTATTTATTTAACAAAAAAATAATCGAGTCTTGAGTTTCAAGTGAATTGTATGATTTTTTCAAAAATTTCTTCACCATATTTGATCTTAAACATTGAATTTTTGGAAAATCAACACCAGATGCATTATCAGTGACCTCAAAAACTCTCGAGTAACAAAATTCAAATTGTTTGGATAGATTTCAAACAATTTGACCGTCATATAGGATCCGGCATTTTGAATTTTGAAAATTCGATGTTGGATTCATAATTACCAACACCAAAATCTCCGGCTCAGTGGGCTTCAAGTGATTCCAAAGATTTTTGATTGAGAAAACAATATAAAATTGTGATTATTTTGAAAATGGAAGCTAACTCCCGGCTAACGCAATTGAATTCAGCACACTCGAATTGATAACAGAAAGATAAATAAAGGAATTTTGATTGTAGAGATAAAATTGATCATTTTTATTGCATCAAATAATGACTAAAGGGTCAATATACATTTTAAAGAAAATATTTCATGAAACAAACAATCCGTGTCACGCTGTTGCGCGGTTGGGGTGTGACTGCTGGAAAAAAGACCTATGGTCAATTTATACTTTGCGGTTTCCATTGATCATCTGGTTTATCACCGTGAACAATCCGAAACGACAGAGCCGCATCTTCAACGTCAGTGTCTCCATAGTTATCATAATTAATAGTATAATCTTCAAATTTCATTTCCCCAAAACCATCTAAAAACTTTTGGAAATCTTCTCATATACAATCATCCAAATCATAACTTAAATTCATATATTCGTAACAGAACGATACGCATTTTAAAAGAAAATGTTTAAATTTAAATATTACCACAGCTTTCCGTGACAAATATATTTTACTAATATACGTTGCAATTAAAAGCGATGCTTTGAGATAAAATTCTATGATGTAACCACTAAAATAAATTTGTAACCAAAAGAATGTTTTAGAGCTTCTCTCATTCTTTACAGGATTTGTGTTTCGTAGTATTGCTTCAACGTCACTGCGTTTTCGGAATGGCATATGCTGTCTGCCGCCACTTTGTAAGCGCTGAAGCGGGTTTCGGGCACGCTCCACCGAGGGGTATAAAGTTTATTCCAAGCCCAAATGATGGATTTTTATGAGGATCTTTTATTTTATGTCACAAATATATTTAGAGGGCTTGACATTCCCATCCAAGCGCTAGCACACTGAATATTTTCACCGTTTTTTCAGATGTGCCCGATGAATATTTCACAGTACTGGTGTGTCATATCTTAATACAATGTACGATAGCCGGGTATTTTCGAGCATTTAAAGCAATACTCGTTCATCCTCAAATCTTTTTGAGTTTGTGAGCGATTTCAGCACAGAAAAAAATTTTCAAATTTGATTTATCAAACTTTTAATCAGTATTTCAGTCATTTTAAAACTTTACTCAAAGAAAATATTTGAGGGAAAAGTCAGTGTATTAAAGCATTTTTATCCACCGAATACCCTGCACCAGTCCAACCGACACGAGAGGCGACATGCATATAATGTACGGAATATGCCGAGTCATGATTGGGAAGCGTTTGTTAAGCGTCGAGATTTTAAACTATTTAGCTACAGAAAAAATAATAATTTACCAGCTAAAATTTAGTAATGATGGAATTTAGAATTTAATTGTTGAGAGAGCAAGAATAGTTTTTTTTAAGCTAAAAAGTGAGTCTGAGAGATCGAAGGTGTTGGAATGAAAATTAAAATTGTAAGACAATTAGCGAAAGGGTTCATTTAATAAAAAAATCTGAACAAAATATTCTGTCTTAAGCTAAGCTTAGTCTGTTTGTGCTTCTTCTGCTCAAAAAATTAATAATCAATAAATGGAGTAGAAATGGTGAGAACGTATTGTGAAATACAATTTTGGGTATTAGCTTAAGACCTATGCGCGATAATATTTTTATTGAACTTCTTACTGCTAATTACTCGGCTATTGCTCCGCCATATTAGCTTTCTTTTTCGGTACAACAGAACATAGCACTTCTTCGGTCAAAAACTAATACAATTAGGCCGGCCATTTGTCGCACTCTCTAGCAACATTCTGGACTCATAACCTTCGTGTGCTGGGCGCCGAGTATTTTTCATTATTTGTGCCTAAATAATTTCATATCGATTGTTTTTATTATGCCATAAATAACGGCCAGAAAAAGAAGCTTAATATATCCGTACACACAGTATATTGGGCATGAAAAAAATCATATAGAGAATATGTAAAGAAAACGAAGTAAGCAAAAATAATAACGAAAACAAATTGAAAACGAAAAGACAAACAAAGAAACGTGATAACTTAACGTTGAATACGGTTTAAGCGGTTGCCGATGCGATTATGTAATCGAAAACGTAGCCGCCGGTGTTGGCGTTCAATATACGTGTATGTATGTAATACTCGTATGTGTGTATGGTGCACAATGTGAAAAGTGGGAAGTGACACTGGTGCAGCTATTGCAGATGCTCTTGCACATGTTGTGGCAACGAGGAGCTTCACTGCCATTTGGGAGATTTTCACATATACATACAATACATATATACATGTGAATACAAACAGTATACGCTCATAGATTATAGAAGATGCTACCAACTAAATATTGTATGTATGTATGTAATTATGCACAAATAGTAAAATATTGCCGGTAAAGCAGTTGCTATGGGACTTTCGGCAGGTTTCGTTAACTGCAGTGGTATATGTACATATGTATTATAATACTCTTTGTACTGCCATAGCATAGTAACGTTATATACTTATAATATAATAATAAATTCTATTTATATGTGGTTATACTAATTTTTGAAACAAGTTTGTATGTTTATCATTAAGATTTGTTTTTTTTTTACTGTTTGTCACGTTTTCAATTTTATTCCAAAGCGGAAGGCGCAACAT